GGGGGGCTGCGCGCCTTCCCCGCCTCCTCTCTGTTTACAGTTTCTGTCAGCTCCTCTCCGGGCGCCCTGCCTGGGCTGCCGAGCACGGCCGCGCTTGCTTACATGCAGCCAGGCTTCCCTGCGCCTCGGCGGCCCGGCCGCTTGCCGCTCCCGCGTCCCGCCGAGAGTCTCGTTTTCTCCCCGGCCGAGCGCGCTCACTCGCTCCCCGGGCTCCCTGGAGGCGCGCGCGGCGCTGCTGCTGCTTCTGCCATGGCCGGCGTCGCGGCGGCGTTTCCCTCGCGCCTTGCGCCCTTGAGGGTGACCCGTTAGGCGAGGCAGGGCGTCGCTCGACGGAACCAATTAAGGGTTAGAGCGCCCTTGAGCGCCTGCAAAGGACACCTCCTCCGCCCCTCCCTATTCCAGGTGATCCCTCTCTCTCGTAGTCCTCAGTCTAGGATACAAGCCTGGGATCAAAAACGGACCCCTGCCAGTTTCCAAATAAGTAGATGGGGCTACTATGTATACAGTAACTACAGAGGACATAGCAAGTGTCAGGAGAACTGGGTTTTGATTTACCAATACTCACCTCGAAACAAATGTGTTAAGTGTGTTAACGCACAACAATATTTCGTCCTCTCTCCTAAAGGGTGGCCTCTTTAATTTTGTCAACACTCTCCCCACTACAGAAAAAAAGGGGGGGAGAAAAAAAAAGAAATTGGGGAAGCCAATTAAAATTAAAAAATTAATGTTGAGGAAGGCGATAGGGGCCCAGGGCTTCCACCAGCAGAGTTTGAAGAGAGACACTAAAAACAGCACAAATGACTCACAGATCCTGAACCAAGTAAAGATCTCACCCTCAGAAACTGGCCAGGGGCTTTGGTTATCTAATTGCTCAACGTGTGACGTTCAGGCCAGTGTGCCTGGGCAACAGAGGCTTGAGCTCCCGCTACTTCCTCTTCCCGGAAATCAGGAGCAAAGGAAATCCAAAGAGGCTCTTCTAGATCCAACAAGACAGATATCACTCCCAGACTAAAACTGAGCAAATGGGACTTTCTGGTCGCTGTTTCAAGAAGGGGCATAGAAGAGCATAAACTTTGCATGCCCAAGCTGCCCAGCTTGGCCCTTGGCATTTCCAGTTAAATCAGGGGTGGGCAAAATGCAGCTCCCAAGGTTGTATCTGGTGACTCCCAGCTCTCCCTTTCTTTTGGGCTTGTTTGTGTGCAAGTTGCCATTCTTGGAAGCCTCCAGGGACAAACTGTCTTTTAGAAGAGGTAGTCGTGTTACTTTATGCTAGCAAAACAGGCAAAAACAAGACAAAAATAAAGAAGACAAAAACATTGTGGCACCTTAAAGACTGTTATATTTTAATGTGAGCTTTCATGGATAAGACCACTACCAAAGATGTGAGGAAGTGGACTTGTCCATGAAAGCTAACATTAAGGTGCCACAGCATTGTTGTCTTCTTTATTTTTGTTTTGCTTATGTACTCCAGGAACCAGTTATTATGTGCCCTCAAGTCAGAAATGATCTATAGCAACCCTAATAAGGTTTTCAAGGTATCGAAACAAATGTGTTAAGTGTGTTAACGCACAACAATATTTCGTCCTCTCTCCTAAAGGGTGGCCTCTTTAATTTTGTCAACACTCTCCCCACTACAGAAAAAAAGGGGGGGAGAAAAAAAAAGAAATTGGGGAAGCCAATTAAAATTAAAAAATTAATGTTGAGGAAGGCGATAGGGGCCCAGGGCTTCCACCAGCAGAGTTTGAAGAGAGACACTAAAAACAGCACAAATGACTCACAGATCCTGAACCAAGTAAAGATCTCACCCTCAGAAACTGGCCAGGGGCTTTGGTTATCTAATTGCTCAACGTGTGACGTTCAGGCCAGTGTGCCTGGGCAACAGAGGCTTGAGCTCCCGCTACTTCCTCTTCCCGGAAATCAGGAGCAAAGGAAATCCAAAGAGGCTCTTCTAGATCCAACAAGACAGATATCACTCCCAGACTAAAACTGAGCAAATGGGACTTTCTGGTCGCTGTTTCAAGAAGGGGCATAGAAGAGCATAAACTTTGCATGCCCAAGCTGCCCAGCTTGGCCCTTGGCATTTCCAGTTAAATCAGGGGTGGGCAAAATGCAGCTCCCAAGGTTGTATCTGGTGACTCCCAGCTCTCCCTTTCTTTTGGGCTTGTTTGTGTGCAAGTTGCCATTCTTGGAAGCCTCCAGGGACAAACTGTCTTTTAGAAGAGGTAGTCGTGTTACTTTATGCTAGCAAAACAGGCAAAAACAAGACAAAAATAAAGAAGACAAAAACATTGTGGCACCTTAAAGACTGTTATATTTTAATGTGAGCTTTCATGGATAAGACCACTACCAAAGATGTGAGGAAGTGGACTTGTCCATGAAAGCTAACATTAAGGTGCCACAGCATTGTTGTCTTCTTTATTTTTGTTTTGCTTATGTACTCCAGGAACCAGTTATTATGTGCCCTCAAGTCAGAAATGATCTATAGCAACCCTAATAAGGTTTTCAAGGTAAACGAGACATTTAGGGAGTGGTTTTACCACTTTCCTTCCCCCAGTAAGTTTTCATAGATGAGCCAAGGAATTTAATCCTGATCTCTTGATTCCTACTCCATTTCTCTTTCTACTACACCACAGAAGAACAAATACTCCCTCTTAAATATGTTGCAAGTCCAGCTCCCCTCCCACATTTAACACCAAAAATACCATACATTCAAAGCTAGATATTTTGCATTAGCACTTTTTTGAAGCTAACTGCTTGTTTGTTTTGCGCATGTTTTCTGCAATTTTCAATGCTTTGTCCAACTCTCAGAGGGTCCTGGGGAGGCAGAAAATTTGACCCCTAAAGTCACTGAAGTTGCCCATGTCTCCATTAAATGCTCCCTAGCCGAGACCTCCAAGACCAGTCTGTTTTAGAATTGGTCCATACTCTGGTGTTGTCACTGGTTATTCTAGGGCTGCTCTGGATCATTCTAGTATTTGTTGTTGCAGACTTGAATAATTGTCCTTCCACATGTGGGGAGGGATGCACTGGTGCCACCTGTCCACAGACACCCAGAATTACTCCCTGATATCCCCATCCCGAAACTGATCACTTTCCTCTTTTGGCTAACTTTGCCACCATCACCCCACCCACTTCTCTCCTCTCCCCACCCCTATTTTACCTATCTATGCTCTCAGTCCTTGATGTTTTTACTGATCTACCTATTTAACCATGTAAGGTTGGTTTTGTTTTCTGAAGGACCAGCTGATATCCCAAGGAAACTGCTGCAGATGAATGGAGACTGACCCTGCAGAAGCATGCCCCTAAGGAAATGCCATCAGATGACATGTGCCTACAAAGTGTGTGGATCAGCATAAAACAATGCCATCCTAGTGTCTACTTGAGCAGATCCTCTCCTGCAGCAACCCAGAGCCAAACATAACAAAAATACACCACTTCCCACAGTGGTGTAAAAAAAACAAACACTGGCAATCAAGTTTTTTTTTTGTCCCACGCTGATTCTATCGATACAAATCTCAGTCCTGGATTGCGCAGACACTGGCATGCAGTCCCAGTGTCATGGGTACAAAGAAAGCTGAACAAGTGCTCAGTGTGGGCAGATTCTTAGATTAGATGGCAGTGGTGCAGAATTAGACCAGTGTCTTCTCTTTTCCAGTTTAAGGCAGCTCAAAGAAAGTAGATCAAAAGGCAGCACAATATCTCAACAACTTTGCACACTGCTACTTGTTCTTCCCAAGCCAAGGAACCTGAGGAATCATATTGGAGCAAAATTTGTTCAAAAATGGCAGCAAAGGGCAATTTCTCTTCATCCTCTCCTGATCCGTCACCTTCTAATTGGGAGAAGGGAGCTTGATTTGTATGACATATTTTCCTCCCACATTTGTAACTGGGAAACTCCATTTTGCAGCATTTAAACCAGAAAATCCTGACCAGAGGAGGGGACTGCTTCTGGAGTCAGTAGTTCTGGACAGTATTCAGGACAATGTTATTAGATGCTTGGGTTCTCACATATACTGTATCATATTTGAGAGGCCCCACAACATTATCCTCCTAATGTGTCTCTGTTTTTCTGCATGTAATTTTTAGAGTCCCCTCATAATCTGAGCCCCCAGCCATGGCAGTTTACTTAGCCTGTGCATAAATTCATCACTGCTGAATTACTAAATTAGACAGCCAGAATCCAGATCTGCACAGAAATCTTGTTTGTTTTAGGAGTCCTTTTTCATTTCAAATGTATAAAGACATGGTGGGGTTGGGGGAGAGAGAATGTGTGCAAGTTCAGGCTGACCTTTTTTTAATTGCATCAGATATTCAGAAATCAGTGCTGGTACCTAGAGCAGATAGTAGGCTGAACTCGAATACAACTTGGCCATGCAGGACAGCCATGACCCAGGCAGTTTGGCTCTGTGTACCAGAAACAAACTTATATTAGATTAGAATTTTGGTCTACAAAGCCCAATATTATGCATTTTGATTCCCCTCTGGATCTCATACACAAGTCTGTCTTAAACTAGGAGAGGCCAGAGGCTGTATGTGCAGTCTTATCCATGGAAATGAGCAGGGCATTTCCCCTGCTCTGTAATGTTATAGTTCATATTGTCCCAATTGTCAGGCATTGTGGCAGCTATAGTATGTAGCATTTGTTCTGAGAATCTATATATTTTCACTTGCTAAGGTGTCCTCAGGCCTTGTCTGCACTAAAGCTGATTACACAGCAATGCATACAGCAATGCTCTGGTAATAAGACAAGTGGCAAATTTAGAATTTAAAACAATATCCAAAAGTGTTCTCTTGCAGAAAACCTTTACTAGACAGAGCATGGAGAAAATATGATTAAGACGAGACAAATAGCACCAGTTCTTTCATGCTCCCAATGGATGGTGGTCATCCACAAAGATATGGAAAAGTTCTACTTCTCCAGAACTGCCTGTTATTAGAACTGGGTACAGCTACCTTTTTGAGTATAGCTCCCAAGACAGCCCAGCAAACATTGCAAACACAGCCTCCCCCAGCCTTGTGCTCTCCAGCTGGCTTGGAGTACAGTTCCTACCTCCCTGAGCCACCATGTTGGGAGAGACTGTAAATCTGTACACTCTTCCAGTTCTTTTGCATGCATGAGTATACAACTGCAGCCATGTGCCTCCCAACCCATTTGAAATACAGTATTTTCTCCATAACAAACACAGTTAAAAGCCTCCTCCCTCAACTCTGGGCAAAAAGTCAAGGGGTGATTTGAAAGAGGAAATTATGGATGAGGAAATGGTTCAATGTCCCCCTTGCCAGCAGCTTGTCTCCTCTCTGTGACTCTCCTTCAAAGCAGGCTTTCAAAGGGTATCAGCTGTAACACCCAGTTCCTCTCCTGACCTTTCAGAAAAGGAATACCAGCCAGTCTTTGAAACAGACTATCTAGTCAAGTTGGGATTCAGAACAGTGCAAGTAAGAAGCCATAAATCTATGGTGCAGCCATCTCCATGGAGGGCTGTTTGGCTGCCTGAAGCAATGGGCAAGGCGGTCTCCCCCATCCCTGTGTACTCCCTGTAGACTGAGACTCCAGTCATGCACTCCAACTGGAGTGAAGACTGAATCTCACTTTGAGGGTGGGACAGCTACTTCCACCCTTCCTGAGGGCAGTGGGCTAGCTTAAGACACTCAGGAGGAGAGGGTGAGGCACTGCCAACCTGTCCCCAGCATCTGCTGCCTGAGGTGGCTATCTCTGGGTCTTTCAGACCATCTGCTGCCCTCCTAGATCCATGGCTTTCTACATTCAGGGACCTATTGTGCTTCTTATAATCGACCCCTTCTCTATCTATTCAGGCAGAAGAAAGGGGCTGCAGCTGGAAACATGTCATGCCAAGCAATCTTCACTAGGTATTTAATACAGAGGAGAATTAAATCCCCTGGCTGCCAAGAGGCCAGACTTTTCAAGCTGAGCGGTATCCAGCTCTCCAGGAAATCGGTGCCAATTTCTGCGTAAACATAAGCTCTGATTTCCATTCTGCAGCCGCCTTCTCTTTCAAGAGCTGCTGAAGAGGTCCTTTGCCTCCAGCAAGAGGAGATTAGGCAGGTGTATCGCTGTGTTTGCTCATTGCCAGCTGCTCCAGGTTTGATTTTCCTCATATTCTGGCCCAGCCTCCCTTTCTGTACTCTTTAAAATATGAGTATGGATTTACAATCTCATTTCTTCTTATTATGCGCCTTAAAATCAGGAATCATACAATTAATGCTGCTAATACCCTTAGGGCTCAAGTACCCAATCTTGTCAGCTTCTCTCCCTCCCTGCTGTGTCCTCAACATGTGCTTGACCACAGCTCCCATCCTCTGAAGTGATGGGAGTTGTGTTCTAGAACTTCTGGAGGCCTCTGGATTGGGAAAGCTGTGCCTTGACATTAATTGGCCCCATAATGCAGAATGGTTGTTGAATGGCATGCTAACAGATATGTAACTGCTGACAGAGAAATGAAATGGTGGTTCACCAATTCATTGCTGAGGCTCTCAGCCACTTAACTCTTACACCTGATGAACACAAACATATTCAAATCATGTATGGCCATTTATAATATTCATACCCATTTTCTGTATGAAAATTACAAGACAATGCTGAAGTTGTGTCAGTGTCAGTGGCCACTTTGAATCCCCTCTGGCCATCAGGCTTCCTCCCCTTTTTCTAGCTCGTGGCATTCAGGCAGTACAGTGTTTACTTTTGGGACGTTGTGTTCAGAGTGATTAAACTGGCCAGCCTCCAAGATAAAGTATGAAATAGGAAAGGAAAGAAGCAGAATTGATACCACAGATCAAATTATGTCCACGAGTGAGAGGTGTAGCTGCCAACTGGCATGTTCAGGTTATTAGTGATCTCCCCACTGCCTTTGGGGAATGAAACTTGAGCCATCTGTATCATGTATTTTTATTTCTGTCCTGGGCTTTTATTCTCTGTCCTGTTGGATTAGGTCAGTTTGTTTGCATAGTTTTGTTCACATCGTTGTTATGGATTGGCTGATATTTACTTAACACTCTGGATATTTGTAATGGTTCCTGTCCAGTTTCTGAAACTAGTATTTATCGCTGTTCATTTCAACATGCTGTGTGCTTCTGTGAGTGTAACTGTGGGGAAAAGCAGCATGAAAATAAATGATGATGACAATATTGATTTTCTAGGAGCACAAGGCAAAAGGGAGTCTCCCTGGAGACTTAAAATTGATATGCCAACTGGAGCCTCCTAGTTATTTCATGGTTTGAATATGGGAAGCATAGCAATAGACAGGCTCCTTATCGAGGGAGGAGAACTCCTTAAGCAAGAGAAACAGCTGTCTAAAAGTGAACTGAGGTTTTCTTTCCACACAGCAGCAGATGTTGGAAGATGTAGCAAGAACTCTCTGCCTCACAAGCCTAATGCAAAGTCAGGGGACATTTGTAGCAGAAGCCAGAAGGCAAGCCAGTCTGCCCTTTCCACACTTGTCATATCTTCCTTGCAAAGCCTGGCCATTTTGAACTTTGCCCCTTTCCCAACACCAGAAATAAGCGTCACTGACTAACATTGATAGGTACAAAAAAAGCTTACGTGGCTACTCAGCTCCAGCTTCCAAATACTTCAGCCACTTCTTAAGAAACCTGAATTCCTTGTGTGTGTGTGTGTGTGTGTGTGTGTGTGTGTGTGAGAGAGAGAGAGAGAGAAAGGCATGTAACACTATCAGATATTGCTTTGTAAACAAACCCCATCATTCCCAGCTAGCATGCCCGATGCTGGCTACATTGAACATACAGAGGGCACCATGCTAGAAAATGTGCCATAGTGGTTAGGATATTGAACAATGGCTTGGGAGTTCTCAGTGTGGCACAGGGCTGGTTGCTCTCATAGCCCAGCCTACCTCATGGGTTGCGATTAACATGGAAGGAGGAGAGCCACTTACACCAGCTTGACTCCACTAGAGGAAAGATAGGACACAAATGTAACAAACAGATCAATAATCTTTAACAAGAAGTACACTTAATCTATGCCCTTTGGAAGGGTGGCACAAAAGTTGCTATCCTTTTAACCAGAGCGTTGTACGTGCATAGATCACTGTTGAGCTCACCAAGAAGTTAACTGCTTGACAGTTAAAATGTAACTCAGTTAACTCTAATGCATTTTGAATGATGCACACAGCCAGCCAGCAAGTGTTCTTAAGTGGTATTGATGTCTCTGAGGCAGATGCAACAGGCTACTTAACAGGCTTTAATTGCTGCTGCTGCTGCTACTGCACTGGAACAACACAATGCTGAAGGAAGCAGAATGACGAAGACAGCCCTGTCTCAGAAAGAGTGTTCCATACTGTATTTTTTAACAGTAAAAAGGTAAGTACATAGATTGCCCTCTCAAATAAAAATTCTACAGTACTGACTATAGCATCCACCAGGCTTAATCTTGTCTTGTGTGAGATATATGCTGATTCTAAAATAATGCTGTACACATTTCCCCCCCAAATAATTACTTTTTGGGACACTGCTTAGTCCAAGCAGGGGATACCCCTCACCTAGCTTTTTTAGGGTAAAGTTCCCTCTTCCGGCCTCACTTGGACCACAAGCCACCAGTGTTCAGGTCCTGTTGTAGGCCTAATTCAGGTTTGCCTACATAGCAGGAAAAAAAATATTTGAGTGTAGCCTGCCCTATGTGGTGGTAGTATTTTGCAGTAGCGAAAAAAACGCAAACCCCAAAACAAAAACATATGAGGCTTTCCACAGAACGGTGAGGCACATTACCACTCACCAAAATCTGCAGATGTGCTAAAGAACATGGAAGGTCAACTTTAAAAAAAAAGGTCACATTTCTTTAGTGGTAAGTATCTTGGGTCTAGATGCTAGCAGTTGGCAGTGCTAGAACCAGAGTAGGTAAACCCATGTAATGTCTCTTTCTCTCCCCCTTGTTTTTTCTTTCTCCTTCCCTTTGTCTTCTGAATTTTTCATCTATACGGCACTTTGGCCATTCTGCCCATGTCCATACCTGTTATTAAAGGCCAAAGTCGAGCACAAAAAGAAGAAGAAAAGAGGAGGAAAGCTGGTAGCCTATGAGAGTATACAGTACATTCCATTCCTTGGATGCATACGAAGGAAGCTTCACCCTGTCCTCTCATTTTGATCCCATCATGAACCACATACATATTTTTTAAGAAAGGACGTGAAGCAATGTGACTTCCCACCTAACTTGAGTACAAATACAGTATTAATATATATGTGCCTAGGAATGCATTACCTGATTTTCTCCCTTAATTTGTATGCCAAGCAAGACAGAGTTCTGCCCATACAGAGAAAGGGCTCCTGGAGAGCTGGACTACACCACCTGGTCATGGTGTGAATGAAGGGTTTTGTTTGTTTGGCTCTCTGACATTGAACTTCCTCAGCTGGGGTTCCCTTTGGGGGCTGGATTGAATAGATGAAATATTAAAAAGAGGTTTAAGCAATTGTTTCACTGAGCTGGGCCTATCTCAACCACTTCTGCCTCTAGAGAGCGAGATAAAAAGTGTAAACAGGTGCAGCAGAACCATGGCCATAAATAGGCAACAGGACTGGGTGATCAAAGTAAGGTTCAGTGGTTGCATGCAGCCTCCTAGGTCCCCCCAATTTTTTTGGGAGGGGAGGCTTTCAGAGGAGAAGGAATGAACTGGCATTTCAGTCTTTCTTTCCAAAGAACTTTCTGAACTCTTCCTGCCTCTAGAGAGCGAGATAAAAAGTGTAAACAGGTGCAGCAGAACCATGGCCATAAATAGGCAACAGGACTGGGTGATCAAAGTAAGGTTCAGTGGTTGCATGCAGCCTCCTAGGTCCCCCCAATTTTTTTGGGAGGGGAGGCTTTCAGAGGAGAAGGAATGAACTGGCATTTCAGTCTTTCTTTCCAAAGAACTTTCTGAAAACCGACTTGTTCTTCTGACGAATGGAGTCATCTTGGCTTCTCCCACCTAAGGTCTCTTGGATCCCTCTAGGGGTGGTGATGAATGAATGGCAGCGAGGCCTGGGAGTAGGAGCTGCCTGTTCTCCAATGTAAAGAGTGACAGAGTAGCTACTGCCAGCTCCCAGAGATTCTTTGGACACTGACAGAGGGGTGATCTTCTGGTATGTAGCTGAAAAGGAAAAGAGAGAGAGAGAGAGAAGGGGGGGGGGAGTACATTTGGAAGATGTTAGATAGGAATATTTGAACAGAAAATGCGCATCAGTCTTCCTTTGATACAGCAAAGTTAGTGTCAGGTCAGGAAATCACTGGTTGCTGGATCAATAAACTTGATGTTTTATGGGAGCCCTTCCTAATCATCCAGGATCCTCTAGATCAATGGTTCCCAAGCTTGGGTAATTCAGATGTTCTTGGACTGAAAGTCCCAGAATCTTGATCACTGGTATGCTGGCTGGGGTTTCTGGGAATTGCAGTCCAAAAACACCTGGGTTATCTAAAGTTTGGAACCACTGCTCTAGATGTATTGAATTATCAGTCCCATCATTCAAACTAGTGTGCTCAATGGCTGTGCGTCCTGGAGATGATAGGAGTTACAGCACATCTGATGGGCCCCAGAGTGGGAAAGCTGCTTTTATGCTGTGTGAGCTCTCCTCATCCGACCGTTAAATCAGAGGATTCAGACAGGGCATGATTTTGAACTAAGATGTATGATTTGAACTTATAGTTTATATGGGTCAGACCCCATTTCTGGAATAAGTGAAAGAATAGTTTGTGTCATTTATATCTGCATGATATTCAGATAGGCAACTAGATCATTCATATCTGTAAATATGAATGACACATATATATTAGAATGCCTTGTCCATCAGCATATTTCCCCCTCACCATTGTGTAACTGCTGGCATTCTCCATGCAGCTAGGTGCAATTCAAAATTCTAGCCACTAAATTCCTAAATGTCTTGGTTAAGACAGTTAGGTCCTGGACTGCACCTGCCAAACGTAGCTGTGCTGACTAGAGAATTCTTGGAACTGCAATCTAAAATGTTACTTATTCCTAGCTCTCAGCTGAATTTGGCTCTTTCTAGTTTCTTTGGCTCCCATCCAGTATTGGCTGAAGCACAACATTCCATTTTCCTACCATTCGTAAAGCAGGCATGACAAAGCTGCTTTTCCAAGACTGCCACTGACATTGCTTCTCAGAACAGACATCTTGGGATATATAAGCATGCAAATACCACAGTGGAACAGTTTTACTTCTTTTTATTGGAGGACTGTCTTATAGAAGAATGCATACCTTGGGATCTGAATGACTGGGTGTATTACTTACATCAGTATCACCCTTCTCAAGTGGCTCACATTTTTAACACATATCTCTTTAAGTCAGCAGTAACCTGCAACTTCAAATGTTTCTAGGAAAGCCCCAGGATAATCTGTTGTACCACAAAGAAAACAGAGTGTTGTGGCACCTTAAAGAGAAGCTTTTGTGGACTTCAGCTCACTGCATCTGATCAACTAAGGCTACAGTCCACAAAAACTGAGACTAGATAAAACATGTTAGAACATTAAAAAAAATATACATCACAGGCCATAGGACTCTTGTTTGAACCAGAAATGTGAATGTGAATGCCCAAGTGTGTTCCTGACATCTAGTGGTGATGTTAAGCAATATCTTGTCCTTTTAAGAAGAACCTTGACTTCTAGCTGCAGCTATGAGGCCAGGCACCAAAAATAGCATCATGATCCCATGTTGGTCATAATAGACTACATTTAGTCACAGACGTTTATGCTGTTCCCGAATAGAAGGTTATGCATGTGACAGCTAGAAAAGGCTGATATGAACAAATGAAGAAGCTCACAGACCTCTTGGTACAAATGGACAGAAAGGTACGGTGACACAAGTCTCCTCTCCCCACGCTAGCCTGTAATATATTCTCCTTCACAGTTATGAAGAAAGTACCTGATGTAAAAGAATATGACCGTCTCTTGTTTGTCACCAGACCACAGTCGTCGTCTTCCAGAGAAATGTAACGGTCTTGTGAAGCTGGAGACGCGGTGGTAGAACAATGCCTTAGACTCTGCTCTGTGTTATATGTGGCAGCAGATCTGTGAACATTTCCTAGAAAGAAAGGCAGGATAAATGAAGTGTCTGCTCACAATGGCTGAGCAGACAAGTCTCAAGGAGCTCAGAAAGTATAGAGAAATGAACAAGAGGACAAGATTTCTGTCCTTTGGCTGGGTAGACTGAAGCAATGCTCAGCTGATATATTTTTTAGACTACAACTCCCAAAACACTTGAACCAGCATTCCTGGGAGGTTTGTGCCACTTTTATTGGGGTGTGGCTTGAGTGCCATCTTCATACCAGATCAAAAGGAATCTTCCCAGTAAGTGATCAAACTTCTCTTTTCTGTTTGGTGTGAGTTCTGGCATTCATAGAATCATAGAAAAGTGAAGTTGGAAGGGGCCTACAAGGCCATCAAGTCCAGCCCCCTGCTCAGTGCAGAAATACAATCAAAGCATATCTTTGAAAAGATTTGTGTGTGTGTGTGTGTGCGTGTGTGTGGCTACTTCTGTAACACCCTCCTATCAGAAGCTGCTTCTGTGGCAGCTAGGACAGGAGATCTCCTCACCTGCTTAAAACTAATGTGTTTGTATCTGCACCCTCACCACATTTTCCCTCTGTTGGACTGGCTCCTGGAGATCACATTGGCTAGGACGGTGGAATGTGAGTTTCTTGGCAAGCAAGTTTAGGCAAAGGGCTCTGTGGCAGAGAAAGATTCCACGACCCTGGCAATCCCCTCCTAGGGAGTCCTAGGGAGCTGAATTGATTAAGAAAGCTGCAACGGGGAAAAGACCTGATACAGGGAATTCACACAAGTGGCATTTTCTTTGGTTGAGGAGATGCTGGGAGCACTTTACTGGCATGGTCCAGGCCAAGACGATGAGAAAGGTGTTAAAAAGAATCCTCCGGAAGGTCCAAACTCTCAGCCCTCACCTGCTCCCGATGCTGCTGCATCCAGGGGGCCACTCTGAGTATTATAAGGCAACTGCAACCTGACATTTGACCTTGGGAGGACCATAGCCTCTTGGCTCTTGGCTGGAATGGCTGGATGATGGCCCAGGAATTGAGATGCTCCATGGCTGGGAATCACACTGGAAAGAATAAAAGCAGCAGATATGGAACTGTTTCTTTGAATGTCCACTTCAACAAGACTGTGCTGCTAAACTATGGTAAGTCTTTGTCCTAGATTGTCTCATCCACACAGTTAATACAGCCCATCTGATTCAGAGCTCTGGTTCAGGCTGTCAGGCTATCTATTTAGAACTCAATCTAACAGTATACTGATGGGGACAAGATGGGCTAGATATGGACCCCACGTATTCCGCAACCCACAAGCAAGCTTCTTCCATTAAGAGAAAAGTCTATCAGAAAACTGGAAAGCTACTACACGGAAAAGAATTCTGCTTTGCAGCCAGGGAAGCTGTTATATTGTGGATTAGTGTGGAGAAGAATTAAGTCGTGCAATTTTTAAGTTTAGTGGGGAAAGGGGCCAAATGAGTCAGAAGCAATTTGGCCCTGGGTGCCTTCTATTCACCTTATCCTCCTTGCTGGAGCCCCTTCTTAAAAAGGGTTCCCTCCACTCCAAGAGTAATTCTGTGCAGCTAAGAAAATTCAGCAGATCACATGTTAATTGGATTTGGCCACACAGAGAAGGAGTGGGTGGGGAATTGTCATGAAAGGCAGAGACAAGAGCAAATCAAATAGAAAGGAAAAATAGTGATGGGCCCTAAATATGGCAACTAATTATTCAAACTGGTGTTAAGCTGCTTCTTTCCAAAAATTTTTCTAGGAAGAGAGGAACAAGCAATATTTTGCAAATCAACATTTAAAAGGCTACCTAAGCTATCCTTCATGGTTTTTGTCTAAATTCCAAAGTTGTAGGACTTGATATTTGCCAGAATGGCACTGAATGGTTTATATGAAGATGTACTTGTGACTAGGGCAAGTGTCAGTGAGGACCTCAATGGGCCCAAAAAATTCTCAGCTAATCCATCAGTAGCCAAGCTTCACTTTTAGTACTTACCTAACCACAGAGGTCATTCCCTGAGCAGTCTGGGAAACTGATTGGAAATAATCCACTTCAGGTAAACCTTGAAGCACAGGAGAGCAGCCATTGAGAGACAGGGTTTTAATAGCAGGTGCAAAATACCTTTCATGTGCAAAGAGCTCTCTCTACCCAAACAAATTGTAAGATTTCACACATTGCAGTGCAACAATCCTGATCCTGCAGTCAGATCTACCCTCTTGTGATCTCCTCTGATTCACTCAACTAAATGCTACATGCATTCTTTTATTACTGTTTTTAATTATTAGGTGTATACTAAAAAATAGAGAAGTTACTTACCTGTAACTATGGTTCTTCGTGTGTTCCTCTGTGAATCTACACAAATGGATTATTCTGCGCCTGTGTAGGAACACTCAGACGTTTCTAGAGCTTAAAGACTTGTGATTAGTGGGACGTTCCCCCCGTGGAGTGCATGCTCCGCCTGCCTGAAGTTCCCACAGTTCCCAAAAAGTCTGCCACTGTCAGAAAATTTAGAACAAGATGACAAAGTAATGGACAAAGGGGAGGATGGGTGGGATGTGTGGATTCACAGAAAACCACCTGAAGAACCATGGTAGTCTGCTGGAAGGTGAGACCGGGCAGGCTCTGGGAGGTAGTAAATTTCACGATATGAAGGATCTTGCAAATCAGGTGAAATATGATGTCTCTTTGAAGCGCGTTTGCGCGGAGGAGACTGGTGTCAAGAAGACTCTGAGTTGGAGAATTGAACCAAAGTTGCCCACCCTGAAGATGCAGAGCTAGAATGGGCTGAGGCCGGGCTGGAAGGAACGTCAGCCACTGAATGGCCAATACTGGGCGAGAGGGTCATTACTGAAAATTAAGCCTGGCCAGGATCTTCCACCTCCAACAAAGAGTCTGGAACCTCTCTCGAAGACTCTTCTAGAATGGGCGATGGGAGGTCTGGTGGTGGCTGAGGTAATTTGTGTAGGCTTAGACAATTTCTTCGTCTTTTTCAATGCACCCTTATCCTTTTTCTTTTTAGGAGATTGGCCACAAGCTTGTGTTGAGGAGGACTTCGGTGCCGATGTCAACTTCAACCTCTAAGGTTTAGGCTGGTCCCTTGGTTTGAGAGATGTCAGACTCGACACAGATTGAGGCAATTCCTGCCTAGGGACAGGAGTCAAGGTAGGCTCCATGGGGACAGGTGGTGGTTGGAGGGATTTCTCCCACAAAAATGAATGCAAACATTGGAGATGAAGCTTGAGGGCAAGTTTAGAGAGGGTTTTGCACTCAGGGCAAGACTGGGTTTGATGCTCTTTCCCCAAACAAAAAAGGCAGCAGTCATGGCCATCTGCAAATGGGATTTTATTTACACAGGACACGCACCGCTTAAAAAGACCTGGGGGACCTATAAAAGAAATAGTGGGAGAAAAAAGGGCCGCGAAGGGGGGGAAAGGGGGAAACGAAAGCAAAAAGAAACCACAGGGAGAAATGAAATGAAGAGAAATATCTCACAGGGAAATGTCCAAAATAATTAAGGTGAAAAAGCCTAAAAAGGCACGAGAGAAAAATTGCAAAAGAGATCAAAGTTGCTCTAGATGTTGAGATAGGTCTGACCTAAATGGCAGCTAAAAGGAACTGAGGAGACTTCAAGCAGGTGGAGCATGCTTTCCATGGAGGAACGTTCCACTAATCACGTCTTTAAGCTCTAGAAACTTCCAAGAGATCCTGCACAGGCATAGAATAACCCATTTGTGTGCATTCACAGAGACCACAAAGAAGAAATGATGTATTGTGTAGTTCATAGGTACAGCATTCCCCCCCACTTTTACACATAAGACCAGGAGACATACGATATGACTCCTTCGAGTTAAACTGGAATCTGAGTCAAAATCTCCCATGTGCAAGTCCAAACTTTCCACCACCACCACCACCACCACCATATATCTCAAGAATGGGGAGCATGTGGATCTCCAGATGTTGTTAATCACCCCTAAGAGATTATCAGTTTCAATCCAACAACATCTGGAGATCTGCAAGTTGCCCACTCAGGCATACAGCAAAAACAAACAAACAAAACCACTCCTTCTGACCCTCTACTATGATGCAATCACAAGGAGACCTATTGTGGGAGAAGGTTAAATGTCACAGTCTAGATATATGAAGACCTCCAGATGTTTTTTGTCCCTGATGGATAGTTGTCTCTTCCTACTTTGGGCCTTCCTACTCCTTGCACAGTTGCTCTCCTTAACAATAGTCTTACCTGAGTTCTGCTGCAGTTTGATAACCCACTCTTTCCTGAGTGGCTCAGTCGGTGCTCTGAGGAGGTATTTGGAGCCATCCTTCAATCTGGATGTCAAAAGGAAATCGGCAAAATTACCATGTTGATGTACTAAATATGATGCCAACACAAGCTTCAGATGTCCATTTGGAAGCTACAAGGAGGAGTCCTCCAAGCATTGAGAGTTATGTTTTTTCAAGGCATGACATTTCACTGTTCCTCTTCTTCATAAACCCAGTATGCTAAAGTTACCCACAACCGTTAGAAAAACTTGTAATAGTACTTGCAGCAACAGCAATCCTTACACAGCATTTATTAGTGCTTTCAAGTGTTCAAAGCACTATGTACACATTAACTTGTATGGAAGTGGAAAACAGGCTACTCACTGTAGTGTGAAACAGTTGTTCTTTTTGGTATACTCTTTGTCTAGGGCGCAGACAGCTCCAGACAGGTTCAGTGGCAAGGCCACAGCAGAGCTCTGCTGTGCAAAGGAAAGCAAATTGTAATGTCCTTGGAGTTCGAAAGTTACTGGCCAGGACACAGAACAGCATTTTCATTATAACATCTGTCCCTCTGGCCTGGAACATGGCACCAATGCTGAAGTTATTGTTATTCAAGTAGTAAACTAGGCACTGGTTTTAGCAACAATAAAAAGCAGGCCATCAAAGGCACAGCCACTAAGGTCTGAAAGTAGGAAGATCACATCCATGTGCTCGGAAGATTACATGGTACTGCTGCAGAAAAGTAATCACTGGAGTATATTATTCTGTATTTCTTGGTTTAATTTATTACAACATAACACTGCAGGATTCTATCAGTGGTAGTTGCAAATTGTTTCTATTGACTGCTTTATGACTGTATTTTGTGCATTCTTGTTCAAGTTCTTAGTTGGTGGAGAATAAATACATTGATAAATAAATAAATGAAATATATGAGTGAGTGAGTACTCAGTGCTTTCGTGCATACACAGGGTACATATTTGGATATAGGATTATCCAACACTGGGTCTAGTTTTAACACTGCAGAATATAAAAATACATGAACTGGAAGCAATTTAAAATTGGCACAGGAGAGGAGTGCTTCCACCAACTGGGATAGTCCTTGCCCATTACTTATTTCTACCATATGCTGTGTTTCACTAGGTACTAGTACCTTGAGTGTGTCCTTCTTGTCCTGGTAAAAACATAAAGTTTGTCTCATCAGTACGGTATGGAAGGTGTTCCAGGAGCGGCAGTTTGCCTAGCAGAACAGGAGCAAAAGGTCAGCTTTGTGGTAGGTGAAAATTAGGACTGTCTCCAAGTCTATTTGCTAAGCTACATGGATATGAAGTCTCCCTTCCCCTGTTCTTATTTCTCAAAGAAAGCCTTTCTCTAGAGGCGAACAGAGGAAGTCACCATTCAAGAATTTGCTCTAGCTCTTCTAAGCAGGAGGGTGTGCATTAGTGTGAAATAAAAAATCACATTCATTTTCTCTTACCTCCCCCATATCTTCATACTAAAATGTTGGGCTGTGCAGATCATTTGTCTTTCCTATCTGCAGCAGAACAGTGGCAAAGGTAAAATCTACAGTGTTTTGACAGTTGGAAAAGCTGTTAGTCATCACCACTACATATCCTGTGGTGATGCAGGCATAGATGTGGCTTGATATTCTGAAAAAAAGCAGTGATAGGCCTGGGCTTTTGCTTCCTCTCTTTTCTCCTTGCATGGCAAGCTCTTGCTTCTCCCCATTCTTGTTCTGGGGTAAACTATGAGCCATGGTCAGGCTTTACACCTGAAATTGTGATCTACATGGCTGGAAGGGACTGGGGATATTTATTAAGCCCCTTTCTTTATAATCCAGAAGTCACTTGGACCATTGCACAATTGATGATGATGGTGAAGAAGCATGTTGATTAGAAGAGGAACTTGCAGGCACATCCTCTCAGAGGTCCTGAGATTAGCAAACCTGATAAGGCAGCAGTCCTCTGCAGATCTTTATGCTGAATGTGGAAAGCCTAAGTCAGTGGTCCCCAACCTTTTTTGAACCACGGACTGGTTGGGGGGGATGGAGTCCATGCATGGGGGGCATAAATTGCTGGCTAGGAACAACTGAATGTTATCCTGCTTGCATTAACAAAGCATCGGGATTTCAGTCATCATGTCACTTCTTCTCAGTTGACAACTCTATGGCTTGCCACTTGCTAGAACCAGATTCCAGTTTGATGTTACTGATTATTAGAGAGAAGAAGCTAACAGACTAAACTTGACCAGCAAGTGGTCTGACCATGACACTGGGGTCACAATCAGCCCCTCCACATCCAAACCACCATCTTCCAGTCCCGTTGAGAAAACCAGGTCCAAAGTATGGCCCTTCTCATGCGTTGGGCTGATGACACATTGAGACAGCCCCATGAATTCTGATGAATTCTCTCACTGACAAGCATAACAAAGCCCAGACGAAGAGATATGCTATTAGATATATACGGGACGCACATGGTCAACTTCATCACATCAGTCAGCTCTGACCATACCTTTTTGCCACCTGGCTGTAATAGATGCTTCCTCTCCAGAGTTCCCTCCATCATCTGAAGCTCCAGTTTACTAGGAAGAACCTGGAAACAGACAGAAGAAATGTTGAAGAAATCAAGCAGCCTAAAAACAACAATAGCTTCAGGTAATGCAGTTCCAGTTATAAAGATATTTTACCACTACATTCAACAAAACTGAACAAAATGGAGTGAAATTATTTCCCCTAAACACATTTTCATCTGTACTACCCCTAATCACTATCCCTAGCCAATAATATGCTTTTGTTCAGATGTAGTAAGTGTTTGCATCTGATGCCTGACGAAAAATGTTGAACAGCCTACTTTTTTGAACTTCTTACTGACATAGCAAGTAGAGCTGCTTTTAAGCCATGTGTGCTTGTGTGCTGATGTTCAGTAGCTTTCCAATTCACCACTTCTTAGGAAAGCCACATATTATAGTCTGATTTTAGAAAAGCAGTTGTGTAAGGTTGTGTGAATGTTGACTGCCTGTGCTATCCCTATCCCAGTCAATTCAGAAGCCACATCCACTTCTTAGGAAAGCCACATATTACAGTCTGATTTATAAAAGCAGTTGTGTAAGTTTGTGTGAATGTTGACTGCCTGCGCCATCCCTATCCCAGTCAATTCAGAAGCCACACTGATGGCGCTAAAAGCAACATGCAGCACCCCTGATGTTGAGTTTCAGTTCCCCGCTAAAAGAGCAGTTGGCCTTTTATATGTTGTTGGACTGCAACACGCAGCACCCCTGATGTTGAGTTTCAGTTCCCTGTTGTAACTTCAGTTCCGAATCCAAGTCACATAGGCTTGGATCTTTGAACAGTAGTTCAAAAGCATTGGGAAGGGTATAGGTACCTGATTTGGAAGTTTTTACATAAGCTAGCAGAAGATCTATGCCTATCTGTCCTTTTCCCCCCATAGGGATGTGAAAAAAGAACAGTAAAATGTTGGCCCTCAAGCAAGAAAATCCAGCTGGTACTAACACTCTCACACCCACCTCTGTACTAACAGCCAATGGCTCTTACCTTGCCAACATTTTTGCTCCCTTCTTGGAGTTTTTGCTGGTCTACTGGACATATGCTCTGTAGAGGACTCATGGGTGAAGCCTCAGGCCTCTCAGGTGGCTCCTGGCAAGAAGGCACAGATGCCCAGCACTCGTTTGGGCTGTTCTTCATGGGATGTCCATCACTGGTCTCTTTCTCTCCTTCCAAACTCTGAAGCACTTGGGCAGGGAATGGAAGCTTGAACTTGGCTACTAACATATTATCTGCTGATGCTAGAATAGGTTTTCCACCAGAGTAGGCTGGGCCTTGAACCTTCTCCACATTTTTCTCTGAGTCACCATGGCCACTTAAACTTCTCTTGTTCTTCTCCACATTACTCCATATGGCCTGTAGCTCTTCTTCTTCCTCCTCAAACACCTCACGGGCAGGGTGACAAATTTTTACCACATCTTGCAACCTTAGTTCCTCTGAAGTCAAGGCAATTTCTGAGGGTGCTGGAATGCCTTTCTGGGGGGCTAATTCACATTCCAACACAGATGACTTGGGTGGGCATTTGAGCCCCAGATGTACTGATGAGGGATGGAATTTTAGGACATTTTCTACAGAACATTTGCTACTTTCTATCTCTGGTGACTCATTCACAGAAATGCCCGTCCTCAATGTGTGGGAAGTGGCACCAGCATTACTTGTATGTTCGGCAGGGGAAGGCTTCAACTTCACCCTGGATGCCTCCTTCACTTTGGCCTTACTGTCAGCTGGATTTTTTGCCAGTTCCCCATTGGAACTGCCAGTTGAATCTAACGAAGCAGCTAGCTTGTCCCATTCCCAGCCTATCTGCTCATGCAGCGCACTGATACGGGAGAGTCGGTTCTGCTTGAAATCCACAAAATCATCACTGGAGCCACTCTGACTCCTGGGACTTTGCTTGTCTTCTCCATAAGCAGCAACAAAGAAAGTCTTCTGCATGCCATGGCTTTGGTTGAAACTCACCTCATCAAATGATGCACCTCCTTTCCTCTTTGCATTTGCATCCCCAGCCCTGATGGGTCCTTGGGGTATTACTGGCAGCACTCCTTGTATTTCCTTTTGCAAGCTGGCCTCTTGGATGTTTGTCCCACTTGTGCTCACTTGAGCAGGATAGCTAAATCCCCTTCTTTTGGCTATCCCCTCTTTGGCTACCTTGATGGCATCACGGACATCCCTGAGGGCAGTAGGGTCCTTGGGGAGCTCCAGGCTGAGGACAGAGCCCAGAGAGAGATGCTGGCATGTGTTCATCTTCTCAGTCAAGGACTGGGGGCCACTGAAATGTTGACTCCTTCTCAGGTCAATGCATTGCCCTGTTCTTTCTCCCACTGAGTCACATTCAGTGTCAATAATCTGCATCAATGGGTTCTTCACATAGTCCATCAGCTCTCCCGCTGGTGGCGAGTATGGGCCTCCCAAACCTTGTGTCCTCCTGACATATTTAGGGGGCCAGGTGCTACTGGTACTGCTGTGCTTCTCTTTTTGCCCAGATTGCAGATCCTTTTGTTCTGTTTCCATGATCCCTTGCAAGGTGAGCAGCTGGACATCCCTTATTTTCCCTTTGGTTTTTCTCTTCAGGCTCTGCAGGAAGCAACTGGAGCTGGTCTTGGGCAAAGTGTGGAAGGCTGCAGGACCCCATTCAGGACTGGGAATGGGGGAGTAATGAGCTCCAGGAGGCATTTGCTTTGAATGTTGTAGCATGGAAATCGAACTTCCACAGGGTAAACATCTATGTTTATCGCCCTCCTTCTCCTTCACCTGCAAATAGGTGCTCACCTGCAAACAAGGGGAAGGCACAATAAGATGTACCATTAGCTAGAACCTGATAAAATTACAACAACTATTGCAGCTCCCAGATTCCCTCAACCAACATGGCCAATCTGGTGCTGCCTTCAACTGAAAAAGATAGATTACTAGCTTTGACCATGCTGGCTGGGAAATTCTGGAAGTGGTAGTTCAAAAAAGCAACTTTCCCAGACATTATGTTTTCCATGACTACACAAGATCATGGGGCCAAATCTACCTATTCTGGATGACATGGCAGCAAACATGGGGTCACACAGCTATCATTTTATAGACATGCATGGGCACATGCTTTTTTCTGCTTGCTCATTACAGAAAGCCCCCTTCATGCTTCACAGCAGCCAACAGGGAGGGCAATCCATAGCAGGTTAAAGGAAATTCAGATCAGCTGGATTCTAAGAGTGACTACCCCAGTTTTGGATTATTGTCATTCTGTTTTATTGTTTTGAGATGACCGAGCTTTGCAGGAAGAGGAAAATCAGCAACCCGAAAACTGCAGAAGTGCTGCTGAGCACACAACACACTTCAAACTGAGTGATGTTCCTGGCAAGGAGGCTAAGAACTTGGCAGGAGCCCAGCACAAAGATCATTGTACTGATTGTTGATACAAGCTGTGTTATACAGTACAGGTGAATTCAGGGCCTATTCAAAGATGCAGAAATACAGTGGTGCCTCGCTAGACAGTTACCCTGCATGACAGTTTTTTCGCTAGACATTGGCTTGTTGCAATCGCTATAACGATTCGCAAAACAGTGATTCCTATGGGGGAATTTCACTGGACAACGTTTGGGTCCTGCTTCGCAAACTGATTTTCACTAGACAACGATTTTGACAGCTCCCTCCTTGCTTGTAAACTGGTGTTTTCGGGACTTAGGCTTCGCAAGACAGCAATTTAAACAGCTGATCGGTGGTTCGCTTTCTTATGGCCGATCTTCGCTAGACAATGATGATTCTTCCCCATTGGAATGCATTAAGCAGGTCTCAATGCGTTCCAATGGGGAAATGCTTTTCACTAGACAATGATTTTGCTAAACAGCGATTTCAGTGGAACGGATTATCATCATCTAGCGAGGCACCACTGTAGTTCAGAACCACAGATGAGGATTTTATTTTTATTTATTTTATCTAAAAAGCACAACTTCCAAAATACTCCCAATAGCATGGCCACAGTCAGAGGTCTATCATGGCTGTGACCATGCTTCCAGAGGTATTCTGGGAAATGTGGTTTAAACATTATTTATTTCCCTCACCTCTGTATACCTTCAGACTATGGGGGTGAGGTTGTGGAGTGCATTCTGAATGCAGTGTTATGTTAAAAAGAAGTATCCTACCCAGAAAGATAGAATAACAGGAAATAGTCTAGGCTAAAACTTATCATAGATTCATAGAATAATTGAATTAGAAGGGGCCTGTAAGGCCATGGAGTCCAAGCCCCTGCTAAGTGCAAGAATCCAAATCTGAGTAGATCTGACAGATGGTTGTCTAACTTTCTTTTGAATGTTTCCAGTGTTGGAGCATTCACCACCTTCAGAGGTAATTGGTTCCATTGTCTTACTGCTCTAGCAGTTAAGACGTTTTCTTGAAATTCAGCCTAAATCTGGCTTCCTATAACTTGAGCCCATTATTATAGGCCCTGTATTCTGGGATGATTGACAAAACATCCTTCCCCTCCTCTGTACTATTATCTTTCAAGTATTTGAAAAGTGCTGTCCTATCCCCCCTCAGTATTTGTTTCTCAAGGCTAAACATGCCCAATTCTTTCAGCCTTTCATCATTGGGCTTAGTTACAGTTCCCTGATCATCTTTGCTGTCCTCCTCTGAACATGTTCCAGTTTTTTGGCATCCTACTTAAAGTGCAGTGTCTGGAACAGGATGCAGTACTCTAGATGAGGTCTAATCATTGCCCTGATGCACCACGAACACATTAGCAATCAGGTCTCATAATAATAACATGGATCAATCTTCTGCAACAGTTGCAAGAGAAGCCCAGAAGGTCAATGCCATCATTGCTGTGCAGTCTGGGCCAACACTGCCTTTTGCAATTGGCAGGTGTGGGATTTATTTCCCATCCACCTGGTGCCTCATTCTGTAGTGACTACAGCTTACAAACTCCAAATTCTTTTCCCTCCAGCCAGTTGCTTCCGTGCCAAACTGTCTTTCAATGCCCTTTTGAAAATTCAGATTTGTTAATCAGAGAGTAGTTATAAGGAGTCCCATGCTAGCAAATAGATGCATTGCTCATCTTTCTGCCCCCTATTTATCTCATCCTCAAACCATTACCCAACAATAAAATTCTTGGGGGGGATTTAAAGAGATTGCTAGAACGAAAGAAGGGAGTTGAAACAGCACCCTTGTAGCCAACTAGTTTAGTCCTGTCCTCTGGCAAGTCCTGTAGTTGCTTAGCAGTGGTATGTGCATCCTTGTGTTGCAAAGGACCATTCCCTATCCCTCTGGTACTGGGTTAGAGCCTGTGTTTATCAGTGTAATCCTGCAGTTTTCTAGTGGGTATATGGAACCCTTGGAAACAATATAGAGAAAACCTCTGGATAATTCACAGAACAATGTTTTTGCCAGTGATATCTCCTCAAGAGCAAGTTGCAATGCGTACAGAACCTGTGTTTGTCCTCCTACACTGCAGCTGCGGAGAAGAGATCAAAAGATATGCATTTCCTCAAAACCTCAAGAAACTGACGTGTGCAGTAGATAAAGGAGCTGCCTTTGGAGTGAGGCCATGATGGGTTAGTCAAGGAGTCCCTTGCACCATGCAGCTGCTCTGTCTCACATGCACTCCACTGCACCCTTGCAGCAAGTTTACCTCTTTGCCATGCTGGCGTGGTGGCCTTTTCTTTCTCTTTAAACTACTCAAAGTATTTCCTAAAAACCCCTGGCAACGTTTCCAAAAAGTTTTACAGGCTGAGGATTTAGTTTCAGGGAGCTGGATTTTAGGAGAGAAAGAAACAAAAGAGAAGTGTGAAGGGGAAGGGGAAAAGAAAGGATGTGTGGGAGGAAGGTCTCTTGACCCACCAAGAAGATAAACCAGCTAGAAGTACACATGGCAGCTACTGTTTACCTAAGAAGCAAAAAGCAGCAAGGCTTCTGGTTCCTTTGATCCATTAGCACCTTACTGGTGAGGTCGGAATGTCCAAATTCTTTATTGGTCACCCCTAGGCAAGAAGCTTGGTGCTTTGTGCCCTATACCCCACTTCTCTCCTGTGTGAACCCTATGAAATCCTTGGCCTCCCTCTAACACAGGGACAGGCAATTTGTGGTTTTCCAGGTAGGACTGGGTTGCAAGCCCCCTCATTTGTCACAATTAATTGTGCTAGCTAAGGCGGATGTGAGCTATAATTCAGTGACATCTGAAGGCCCACAAGTGCCCCACAACTCTTTCAGATAACCCTGCCTCCCAATGCTCTGCAGCGTGTGTGCATTCTGCAGTGTGCTTAAAAATATTACCAGATGCCAGCTCCCATTACTCATAGCCAGAATGCCCAATGGTTGCATATGATGGGACAACATCCAAAGGACTACAGTCTCGTCATTCTCCCTCTAGGGAAACCTAGTCGTTGTTGCAGTTACTAAGCACCTGTACCAGTGCCATGTACTTTACCTTGTGCAAGGTCTCCTGTCCCATTGGCAGTGATGCCGTAGCCTGGCTGCCTGTAGTTTCCTTCTCCTCTTTCTTCCCAATGCTCAAGATCAAGTTCACTGTGTTGCCCAGGCTGCCAGGACCTGGCTGTGGTACCAACATCACTGGGGTCTCTGAAGGCTCTAGAACCAAAGTTTCCTTAGGGATGTCCGTCTCAAAAGGCACGGAATTTTCAGAATCTTTGAAGCTTTGCTTCTGCAGTGGAAGAACATCTAAGACAGACAGGATGGCAGTGGAGACAGATTTCTTTTCTTGGTCCTGGTGCTTTGCTGGAGAACCATTCTGAACCAAGCCTAAAATAAGTGGAGGCCCTTCAGACCCAGGGGAGCCAAGGGTACCTTCCGCCTTAGGCACCGTAGTTTCAGGGGTTACTTTAATCTGTAGAGGAATAAATTACATTAAATGATAGAGCTATGGTAATCACAGCCAGTGTCCCAGGAATCTAGACTTGCCACCTTTTAAAAAAAAGCAGGGACCTCCCCTTTCCTGAGGTGTACTCACAAAACTGAAAGACTATCCACATTAATATGTGTGATGCACCCAGTTGCTCTGCCAGTGCTTATTACTTGACTGCATAAATGCCAACTTTGCCACCTTTTTTTTACTGGCCCCCATCCCTTGCATATATACTAGTCACCTGTCCCTCAGAAAACAAGTGAAGCTGAGGAAAGCAAAAGCAGCAGCCAGGTAGCCAACCTGGAGTGAGTAGACCTGTTTGCCCTCTTGGTGGCTTTTACCACCATCAACCGTGGCAGCCTTCTAATCTTCCTGTATTGGATGGGACTTGGGGAAACTATTTTATGGTGGCTCTTGTCTTTTCTAGAAGGAATGAGCGGAGAAGCTGGTGTTTGGGGGCTTCTGCTCAATGCCATGATTATTGGCCTCTGGAGTCTCTCAGAAGTCTGTCTCGTTCCCCATGCTATTTCCATACACATGAAACTTCAGATATAGGTCTGCAGAGTTTTAGGATATGATGCCACCAATGTATGGATGAAACCCAATCATACCCTTTCTTTCTATTTAAATCCAAGGAAACTGTTCTGGTCCTGAATCTGTGTGTGATGTCACTAATAGTCTGGATGAGGGCAAACCGATTGAAGCTTATCCAGTCAAAAGGCGGATCAGGCAATAGGGATCCAAACCACACCGAGTGGGGTTATCTTCACCTTCAAGACTCAGGTCTACAGTTTGGGTCTATGTCCAGATGTTTCCCAAACCAAACTGTGCCAGAGCTAAATTTTGTGATTAATCTGCCAGCTGTATCTGTTTCTGAAAATACTGGCTAAAATCCTATAGTAAGTCAGAATTAGAGTTGGCCTATTGAATCTGTGGAACTTACAGAGGAGGTAACTCACCAAATCCCCATTGATTCAGTGGCCTACTCTAGTTGTGACGTACAACTGGATTTCAGCAAATGGATTCATTCAAAGAGACACAAGACTTTGTTTCAGTGCATTTAGATTATTTTAATGTGCCCCACACAGAGCCACCTATGAAAAGTACTTGGAAACTTCAACAAGTCCAGAATGCTGAACTGACGAGTGACTCCAGAAAATCACTTATTATATAAAATAACCCCCTTATTACAACAACCCTGTACAAGAGACTACAGGTCTATTCAGACCTAATTCAAAGTACTGGTTATGTACTGTAGAGCCCTACATAACACAGGGTCAGGCTATTTGAAAGATTGCATTCTTACACAATGAGTGGTGTCAAGTTAGTACTACAGTAAAGGTAAAGGTAAAGGTTCCCCTTGACAATTTTTATCCAGTCGTGTTCGACTCTAGGGGGCGGTGCTCATCCCCGTTTCCAAGCCATAGAGCCAGCGTTTTGTCTGAAGACAATCTTCCGTGGTCACATGGCCAGTGCGACTTAGACACAGAACGCTGTTACCTTCCCACTGAGGTGGTCCCTATTGATCTACTTGCATTTGCATGCTTTTGAACTGCTAGGTTGGTGGGAGCTGGGACAAGCGACAGGTGCTCACTCTGTCGCGTGGATTCGATCTTACAACTGCAGGTCTTCTGACCCTGCAGCACAGGCTTCTGCGGTTTAGCCCATAGCGCCACTATGTCCCAAGTTTGTACTAGCTACCCCACAAACAATAATATAATAATATAATATCTTTGAATTGCAGAGCTGGATCCCTATGGATCATCGAGTCCACCCGTCTCAAGGAGGCACAATGGATAACTGAACTTCCAACCTCTGACTCTGTGGTCAGAGACCTAAGCCACTAAGCCATCCAGCAGTTCCCAAGTTCTGAGTACACGGAGACATATCTTTTGGACCAGCGGTTGGAAATTTTTTTCAGGCGGCATATAAGTCAGATGAATGAATGAATAAATAAAGAAATTTCCCAGCCAGAACGACCCTAGCTGCCACCCAAAAAAGAGTAACTTTTACAAACTCTGGTCCTGACCTGACCTGCCCCTGCTGATGGACTACAGAAGTCCTCTAAATGCTGTATCTTGTCATTTTTCAGTACTCACAAAACCACTCAGGAGCTGCAATACTAACTTGGCAGTTTTGGGTCATCTGGGTCCTATCCTGAGTCTTAGGGCTGTCATTCTTGTTGCCAAGGTCCTTCTGGGAACTCTGTGCTCGCAAGTGCACCATCACCCATCCCAACATGCTTCGTAGTTCTTCCATTCGCTCTATTATCTAAAGTCAAAACAAACATGAATAAGAAAGACAGACAGACCAGAATTCTTTAGTGGGGCTCGAACAACTCCAGCACACCAATGCTTTTTTCAAAGATAGAAACTTTTCATCACTTGACCCTGAAGAGCAGAATGGAGGATGCAGCTGAACCTCATTTGAATGCACATGCATTAGTTGCTTCTATTGTCCGGATTTCATTTACCTGTACATCACTGTAGCAGTAACTGAATGAATTAAAAATTTACTGGGAAGCCTATCTCACTGGATATCTCTAAGCCATGGATGGTGGTTCATGGCTCCATCATGTGCTCAAACTAGTTTGTTGCAAGGAATTCTTAAATGTTTTAAAATAAGTGTATTGCAGAAAATATGAAATCTTGGGTATCAACACAGTTGTACCAAAGTTTATACGCTCCGTAAGTGTTCAGCCTTCCTTGCTGGATGATACCAACTTATTAATGGAACCTGACCACATGTAAAGAGGTTGCTTAATGGAGCAAAACACAGTTCTAACTTCCAATTTGCATTCTGGAGAATACATCAGCCTCTGAAAATGTGCATTTATGGAAACTCACCAGCTACTTTTCCAATGCTTGGGGAAATGCATATTGAAATTAAATGGCAAACATTCAATGAATCTGCCAAAAGGAACCAAGAGAAGGCACAAGTAAAGCCAAGAAACTAGCTAAATGCCAAAACAAAAGATCCAGATTTTGTGTACCCTCCTTCTAAAGGCCACCAGAAAGAAGTTGGCAGTGGCAGGGTCATTCCACAGAATCTTCCAGGCAAGGTACTGACACAAGGTTTGATCTCCCACCAGAACAGTTCCCATAGAAACAAAAGATGGTCACCTCAGCTTTCAGCCACCAGTTCAGAAGGGCACTCGCTTTGCCCATATCTATACTATGATCCAATTATCCTGCATCTGGGCTCAAAGGCTGATCCCCCAAATGATATTTCACATATGCTGAACAGATGCATCTCATGGCTTCTCACACTTACTATCTCTCTCATGTAATGCTCCTTGGTCACCAGCTCCCATCCTAGTGCTGCAAGCTCCTCAGACTCCTGAAATTTAGTCTCCATATTATTTTCCATATCCTCCCACTGAGCCTCTGTCAGATGCTGGGCACTCAGACTCTCTGAGAAAATCTGTGCCCGAGTATTCTCTGTCCAGGAGCTAAAGAGTCAAAGAAAGGAGAGAAAACAATTACGAGTTGGCCAAAGAAAAAACATCTGAACACCTCACTAACCTGTAATCAAGTCTAGTTTTCAACTACTCTTCCAACTAAGTATCAATTTATTCATGTAGGCAACTCAGCTAAGACCCTAATTCTGCAACTATAAGCAGAACACTTTTAAAAGGAAAAGACTGCTTGTTTCTTCTAATACAAATGTGCCTCAATCTACTTATGATAGATTCTGTTTTATAGCTTATTAACTAAGGTACAGCACAGCTTTGTGTATGTATCTTAAGTCATGCATATAGTTCTGAAAATTTTGAATGCTTATAGGGGTATTATTGCAAGAGAATCAAATCGGATTGTTGTGCTCTGCTCCTTTTAAATGTTTCTTCAGTATTGATTTTATTACCATTTTAAATATATTTGTCTAATTCTTTCTTAATGTTTATATACATATTGTTTTTAACTTTTAAATAATGACTTAAGCAGCCTTGGGTCCTTTTAAAGAGAAAGATGGGGTAAAAATATTTTAAATAAATAAATAAGATAAGGAAATTCTCATTTGCCTTAAGATGTGATTTGATCCTAAGACCAATTCAACCGTATGCCTATTTTGTACTGTACTGTTTCAGCCTCTAGATGGCACTATCTAATAATAATATATACAGTAACAATAGTTAGACACATGGTTAATATGACTGGAAAGATGGATGACACCTTTTTTCAGTTCATGTTTCAGTACGAAGATATTCAATGTGCATTTCCCTGACTTAAATATAAGCTGAAATGATCTTGGACCTTGAAATCCATGGTTTGCAAAAACGGAACAAAAATTCATTTATTTGAAATCAAGCATACAAAGTTACATAATTTTGGGGAGAAAATGTTCACAAAACCACTTTTTGTGGAATTACTGTTTAGAAAATTACAGTGGAAAAGGCACACATTTAAGAAAATAAATATAAAAATACACATCCTTTGAAAAATATACAGAAAAAGTAGGTACACATTTTTCAGCAGGAAAAAAAATGCAATCTGATGTTGCCATGAACTTGACTGCTAAAGTGAGAGACAGGAGGAGAATTTAATGTTACCTGAACTTGAAATACAGTCACAAGCACTATTAAGGGGCAGCACTGAGAGGTGTCTCATAGTAAAAAGCGACAATCGTTTTTGTGCTTGCTAGCTACTAAGAGCTGCTTCCACTCTGGCAAAAGAATTACACCAGAAGCACTGCTATGTAAGAATTTTTGTGCAACCTATGTGCAAACTATTATGCTTGGCCCGAGCATGAAAACATACACCGAGAATATATCCAGGGAATCTGCAGCCAGTCAGAGTTTCCCAGCAGGAGTTCCTGCAGCAGTCATTAGCCGTGACAGGATGCCCATTCAAGCTGCATACAATTCCTGACCAAGAAGTACCTTTGTGGGGAATATTCTATCAGGATTGAAAATTCTATCAGGATTGAAAAGCTTGACTGCCTTCGTAATGGATAACAAGGACTTCTCCCAGATATGAGATTAGAAACAAGATCTTTTTACTAGCTCAGAGGAAGATGAGTAAGTGTCTAAGATCAGAGCTTGGAGGTAATGCATTACAAATGATAATATCGTACATCACCTAGAGAGGAGCAAAGGCATAACAATCACCCATTTGCCAATACAGTGGTGCCTCGCTTAACGAGTGCCTCGCTCAACGATGAATTCACATAACGATGGCCTTTGCTGGAAATTTTGCCGCCTCACCTAACGATGTTTCCTATGGGGGAGTTTCACATAACAATGTTTGGGACCTTGCTTCACTAAACAATGACAGTTTTAGGTCCCCTGTTTCGCTTAACTTTTTTTTTGACAGCCCTGTTTTCGCTATTTTAAAAATATTCTAAAATGTTTAAAAATATTTAAAATGCTTGGAATCGTTAGTGCACCTAATAAAACCTTCGTTAAAGTAATTTGGCTGCGTTCTGAGTCTTTTTGAATTTTTGGTGATTTTTTTTCACCATTGAAATGTATTGAATAGGCTCCTATTGGAACGGATTAACCGGTTTTCAATGCATTCCTATGGGAAATGGTGTTTCGCTTAACGATGTTTTCACATAACTATGTTTTTAATGGAACCAATTAACATCGTTATGTGAGGCACCACTGTAATGCCAATAATGGCAATGCCATTAACCTTGTCTGTAAAGAGTAACATTTACTCACTGGTTTCTTGTTACTTGTTGAAACAAGGGAATTTCTCCAAATTTGGGGATATTTCCTTACTTTTTAAAAGGATTTTTAAGGTACTAAAAAGCAAGGAGCAACATAATGTTAAACTCAACTTTTCGAAAGGGCAATATTATGGTAGCATTACAAGTTATCTCTCCACCCCGCCACAAGTAGTCAAGTCACTTAAATAATTGTTTTTCAAATATAACTTGCCAAAGTTTTTTAAAAAATATAGAATTTATCTAAGGATATTTCCAGGTTTTGGCTTTCAGTCAATTCAGAAACACCAAGTCCTCCCTTTGTGTTGTTCTCCTGGCACACTTCTTAAGGGGTAAGGCATGTTTTTGGTGAAATGTGGCAGAAAATACAAGCAGTCAGGCTCACTGTAAACCTTTATTATGTTATATTATATATGACATGTATTTCATATGTCTTGAATAAACTTCTAAAAACTGCAGTGTATTTCCTGTACAGCACAAATACATTTTGCACCTGGCAACCAGAGGTCCTAGGAACAGAGAAAGGCTAGTAGAGGTTAGTGGCTTACATCATGGCCAAATAATCTCTAAAGAATTGCCGCAGCTGAACAGCCTGGTGCCCATGGACAGCATTTCCCGACACCACCTTCTGCAGATCCTTCCAAGCCTCCAGTATCTCAAGAATCCTTCTGGACTCATCAGACATTGGCAATAGGCAGCATCCCTCCAGCTGCACAACTGCTCTCTCCAGCTCCTCAATATCACCTGACAGGTCAGACATATCACTCTGTGGAACACAAGACAGCTGGATTCAGACAGGTTAAAAAGGCAAAAGAAATGAATTTGGAAAGAGCCAGAGCACAATTTTGAATGGATTCCCATCACACAAGAGTCGAAGCCCTCAGTAACTTTTTAAATCTTACTTCTATCTCCTTCTGCTTTTCCAACAGCCCCTTCAGCTCCAATAAGTCTTGTTCACTCTTCACGGTGACAAAGCTTTGCTCTGCCTGGATGATGTCTTGAGCCCATGCTTCTGCTCTGTCCCTCAGTGACTCCATCTGTGAAGTGATCCAGGCCAGCTGGGAACAGAACAAAACAAGGCAAAGTTTAAGTAGAGTAGGCTGTGACTCTAGTCACCTGATAATACTGTTATCCACTTTTCTCCATTATTCTGAATAACCATGCCAGATGCACAAGCCTTTGTTTGACCACAGATGAAAGGTGGCTTTCAAGCCCTGCATAAGTTGAATATTAATGTATTAGTTGCATTTATATCCTACCCTTCTTCCAATCAGTTTAGGCATCATTCTGCTCCAGCACTGTATCTTCGTAGCAACCCTGTGAGATAGCTCAGGCTAAGAGAGAATCAGTAATTCAAGAGGGCCCGTTAAGTTTCCTGGCTGAGGAGACGTCACTTCCGCTCGGGGGGATCTGTATCTCCCTGTGAGATAACTCAGGCTAAGAGAGAATCAGTAGTTCAAGGGCCCCCGTTAAGTTTCCTGGCTGAGTGGAAACCTCAATCTGGATCTCCCAAATTCCAGTCAAATACTGTAACTACTCCACCAGACTGATATGTCCAGCAAATAGCCAGACCACATTTTAATAGATTCCCATCACACAATCTCCCACTGCGACTGGGGTTGTTTAGATAACTGTCTTTCCTTAACCGCTCAGTAGCAACCCCTTTATTATCAGAGGATTCAGTGCTTTACAAAATCATAGCTTGTATAGAAGGGCTTCAGTCCCTGGCACATCTCAGCTAGGTTTACAGAAGATGCCTGACTGAATCCCTACGGAGATTCTGTTAGCCAGTTTAGATGATACTGATGCACCAGTGATCTAACATGACAAAAGGCAGCTTCAGGTATTCCATGCATGTTTCAGGCAGTAGTGGGACAAACCAAACAAGAAGAGCAGCAACTGAGGAGCACCAATAGACATTATACCCTTTAGCAGGTGGACATTCCATCTCTGTGAAACAAAATCCACTTCTGGGATTTTTTTCTCCAATGTCAAAAGCACAACTACCATTACCATCTTTACTTTAACCATTAAGAAAGACAGTCTTTCCAGCACATGGCAGATCCAACACATCTTACCCTAGTTTCCTCCCCATCTGTCAAGGCCTGCGGGCTCTCTACCTGGGTGGTTCCCTCACTGGCCCACTCCTGTTCCTTTACCACATTATTTAGCATCTCCACAGCTTCCTGAAGCTCCTCCAGGGGCCTGCTCATGTGCTCACTGCTCAGCTGTTGAGCATTCTGGGCTAGGAGAAGGTGCAAGGACTCCTCGGAACTGTGCCGATTAGGCACTGCCTAAAACAGAAATAAGTACACAAAACAATTTTGGGCGAAATCAATACAGATCATCTGATTAATCTTGACAGCAAGCCTGTGGTCAAATCACCATTATTCCCATGTTACAGAGGTGGAATTTGATACTGAAGGATATTAATATTGTTAAATCTGCCCAATAATAATAATAATGGCAAAAACTCAAGTGTGAATCAGACCGAAGGACTAGAGCCCACTGGGAGACCTACTCTGTGGCAGTGGTGGTAGTGATGGAATTCCTCTATGCCACTGTGTTTGCACGGAGTGGTCTGGCAGAGCTCTTTTGAGCAGTCAAGGGCCTATTACATGCTGGCCCATTAGAAGAGAATGCAGAACCTCTCTACAGGTCACTGTGAAGACCCTGCACAACATATTGCAGGCACAATTGCTTGGATCTGTTCTGACTTGCATGCTATAGATGATACAGGGGGCTTAGTAAATGTAACTTTGGCCTCTGCTTCTCTTGTGTCAAAGGGTAAGTTTTAGTTTTTTGCAGCTGAAGCATGTGGACAGGACTGTTGGAGAGGTGAAAAGCCACCATATGTCTATTGGACACTTGCCCTTCCTGGTTTATAAAAGTTGCCAGAGGGGGACTGGCTCTATGGGTAGGAGGAGTGGTGATTGTCTTCTTGCAACAGAGCAAGATCCCAGCATGCTTAAGGGGGCAATAGTAAGACCACTGCTGAAAAAGCCCTCCTTGAATTCCATGGTACAGTATTAGATAATTACTGCCAGTCTCTAATGTTCTACTCCTGGGCAAGGTACTGAAGTGTGTGGTGGCTTTTCAGCTCCATGGAGTCCTGGATAAAACACTTTTTTCCTAGTCCAGGATTATCTAGATCTATTTTAATCTATGCTCAAACCTGGTTATGGAACACAAACAACTTTGGTCACCTTGGTGGATTACCTGCATTGGGAACTGGACAGGAAGACTATGTTCCTGGACCTCCCAGTGGCTTTTGATACTATCAACCATGATATCCTTTTGGTCTGTCTCTCTGGGATGGGACTTGGAGGCAGTGTTTTAAAGTGGCTCTGGTCTTTCTTGTAGGAAATAACTGAGCAGGTGGTGTTGGGGGATTTCTATATGATGATTGGGCCACTGATCCACGGTTCCCTCAAGTTTCTGTCTTGTCCCCCATACTGTTTAATATTTGCACAGATCCACTGGCACTGGTTGCCCATGTGTCTGGGGATTGGTGTCACCAGTATGTGGATGACACTCAGCTCTATTACTCCTCTCCATCTAAATCCAAGAAAACTGTTTCAGTTCTAGATCTCTGTGTCATGTCAGTAATGGATTGGGTGAGGTTGAATACACTAAATCCAGACAAGACAGAGGTGCTTCTGGTCAATTGAAAGGCAAGTAAGGCAACAGGGATCCAGCCTGTGGTGGATGGATTTACGCCCCCCCTGAAAGCACAGGTGGGCAGGATGGATGTGTTCTTGGATTCATCACTGAGTCTGGATGCCCAAGTTTCCAGACCAGGAATGTACCTTCACAGTCGAAATTAGCATACTAGCTGTGCTTGTTTACGGAGAGATCTGGATCTTACTAAGATGACACAAGCAATTACATCCTGTTTGGACTACTGTAATGTACTCTGCATGAGGCTGCCTTTGGAAACTTCACCAAAATGCTGCAGCCAGATTGCTGACTGGGGCTAGTTACAGGGATCACATAACACCCGTTACAGCAGCTCCACTGGCTGCTGATCTGTTTCTGGGTAAAATTCCAAGTACTAGGCTTTAACCTACAAAGCTCTAAATGGCTTTGGTCAAAGCTACCTCAAAGATTCATCGAAGCTACCAACAGGCAGTGGAAGACAGGAGGGCCTGGTGTGCTCTCGTCCATTGGGTCACAAAGAGTCGGACATGACTTAACGACTAAACAACAACCTCAAAGATTGCATCCCTCTTTATGAACCTGCCCAGATGTTAATATCATCACCTTCTCTCAGTTCTAACACACTCACAGGTTCATTTAGTGTGCATGTGGAAGGGCCTTCTCTTCCAGACTCAGAAACTCCCTCCCACAAGAGGCCAGACTGGCCCTGTCTTTTTTGCTGTCCTTCCACAAGCAGGTGAAGACCTTCCTCTTCAGGCAAACTCTCTCTTAGAGACTGGCTGCCTAATATAGTCAACATGTTGAACTGAAGGTGGGATGAGGTCAGTAGCACTGGGCCCTGCACTCCCAGCTGCTGCTCTAGCATTAAATAAAGCTAAAAAGCTGCAGTCCTTTCTTCATTTTGTGGACTCCTGTGTATCTTGCCTGCAAATACAGTTCTGCCTCTGAAGGACTTCTGGGCCTTCAGATCAACTAGTAAACAGGGCATATAGACAGTGAACATCATATTTTAAAAGAAGAGCAGCTTTTGTTGTGGAAAGCAGAATCCAGCACAGAAGCTGAATATTGTCCACTGCTGATTTAAACAAATATTCACAATTCTGACATCAGCAGAGGTAAAATTTATTACACATGAAGAGAGGCAGTAAAAAAACATCCTAGGAGTTATAACTTTAAAATCTTCTTAGTACAAGAGTGTCTTCAGTTTCCCATGAAAGAGGAATGGATTTCAACTGGGAAAGGATTCTAGTCAAGGCATCAAAACAGGAAAGGCTGTGCTCCTTGAAGGTCCTCAGCAAATATCTGAGGTAGCACCTATAGCAAAGCCCCTGTCATCTGCCTTAATTTTTTACAGGACACTAATTTTTGCCACATTTAAGAAGACCACTGGTAGTGAACTTTTTTGTAAATACATTTTAATAAGTAGCCTGGCTTTTTAAATACCATTTTGGCCTTGTCACCAGCAATGCCCACAGTTACAATCTGTGGCAGAATTCAGCTGTGAAATACTTCTGCTCTCCACTGTAATTTGGATGCCACAGCCATAGTGAAACCAGGTTAATCTAGAAAGATAAGTAATACAAACTATTCCTTAATCACAAAACCATCCGCAATGCAATGCAGCTGAAAGGATTATGGAAACCTGAGTTATGTTTGAGCTAGATGGCAAAGCCCAAGCAATGACATAATTCAGTTGATGAGTCTACTTAAAATGAGAAATATGTATTACCAAGACCAAGCATGCACTGAGGAAGTAATGCTAAACCAAGATATGTCAGATCTTCTCACTATTAGAAGAGAGATCTCTGGCTCTATAAATTTAATCTCTGACGCACTGATATAACACTGGGAATTAATATGCACATGTCATGTTCTGTTTTCTATTCCACTCAGTCTCACTTCTTCTTGCCCCCATTCTCACACTTGGTCCCACTTCCAAACCTGTAGGCCAAATATTGTACTCCATGCCTCACACTTGGTCCCACTTCCACAACATACTTTACATGTAAACCTGTAGGCCAAATATTGTACTCCATGCCTAGAATGTTACTGCTATTCACATAAGACTTGTGTAACTTGCTGTGATTAATTGATAAGGTACCAGGACACACCTTGATTGCACAGTTTGTGCATAATCATGCACAGACTGAAATGTGCCACAACCCTTCACCAGCCGTTTGCAATTAGCCACAGCCAGTTAAGCAAACCTCAAATGAACAGTAATAGGATTTTGGCCAGTGTGTCCAAAAAAGTGAACTGGAATCCACAAAAACCTGTACTGAAATAGATTTATGTTAAGGGTGCCAAGTATTTTGCTTTTTGCCCTTGACACAAAGAAACTGAAACCACACTGCCTGCCTCCTTGTTCTTTCCTTCTCCAATCAATCCTTTCCCTCCTTCTCACCTGCATTTGGTTCTTCTGATTTAGCATCTCTTCCAGCTGTACATTTTGCAAGAACTCCATTAAAATCAAAGAATCATGCAAGCCTAATGATCGCTGCTGAAGGTTGTCCTGCACATGGCCCAGCCTGGAAAGAAAATGTGACATCTAAGCAGGATATCCTATAAAATGAGGAGAAACTCACTCAAATGATTCAACAAACAGAAAAATTGGTTGGATGTGGAACATACATCTACAGCGGGAGCGAGGATCATTGTATGAGGCCCCTGAAGACTGTTTTCCCAGCTCCTGGAGATACCCCATAAATCAAAATTTTATTTTGAAAGGAGCAGTGAAGAGGGAGAGGAGTGAATTGTGCCTCCATATGCAATTCTCGTCTAAAACAAGGATCCCAGGCATATTGTTTTAGCAGAAAAAAAACAGTTGGTTTTTTTTTTGCGTCCAGTCACTTCTTATTTGACAAAAGGATCTGGTGCAACTTGAAACAGGTCCAGGAGTGTGGGAAATGATTCCCAGATAATTTTGAAGTTGTTCATTCTGAGACATAATTTCCGTAGGGATCATATTTAAAATTGCTCTCGCAGTTCACTTTACCCTATCTGATTTTGTTGCCTGCATGTTTCCTCCAAATCATCCCTTCCCAGAGAAATATGGTTTTCTCTTCCTCCTTCGAGGAACCCTGACCTACTGCTCCTTCCCATGCCACTTCCATGCAGAAAATACCCTTGAGGGCCTCAGAACTCACTTTTCCTTTACTCGTTCCATCTTCTTCTGAATCATTGCCGCCGCTGTGCGTTCTGAAGAGGCTTCCATCTGCATCTCTTCCTGCAGGGCTTGGAGCTTCATACTCCAGGTCCCAGCCTGGTTTGCCAAGATGCCAATCTTCTGTAGCTCCCCACGGAGACCATCAAGGTTTTTCGCTGCTTTTGGCTCAGAGAGCAAGTCTGTCACCGTTCCTAGCCAACATTCAGCCTCCTCCAGTTCCCCAACCAGTCGCAGGGCCTCCAGTGAAAAAAGAGCAGCCTTAGCAAGACAGTTGTGTACCCTGGATTTGACAGACACTGTCCCAGCACTGTTCTCATTATTACAGTGTATCTGCAGGCGGAAGCATTTATTAAATTCCAAGGGATGGGTTTCTAATTGTGGGAGAAAATGGGACTCTATACAAGGAATGTTGCTTTTAAGAGCAAAGTTAGCATTAAAAAAAAAAGATTAAAGAAGGCAGAAGAGGAACACAGCAACGGAATTCAAGCCTTATAATTGTAAACTTTGTTACCTCTTATGACAATGGTTCCCAACCTGGGGCAATCCAGGTGTTCTTGGACTGCAGCTATCAGAGTGGCGCAGTGGTTAAACTGCTGTACTGCAGCCAAAAATGTGCTCACGACCTGGGGTTCAATCCCAGGTAGCCGGCTCAAGGTTGACTCTGCCTTCTATCCTTCTGAGGTCGGTAAAATGAGTACCTAGCTCGCTGGGGAGGCACTATGAGGCGGTATATAAGCAGCACGCTTTTATTCCTAGCTATGCTGGCCAAGGCTTTTGGGAGTTGCAGTCCAAGAAACATGTGTTAATGTTGGGAGCTTCTGTCTTAATGACATCATACATTTCTTCACCTCCCTCTCACACTAATGGCTGCTACCAGCAAGAATGTACAGTATCACAGTATCAAAGTAAGTTAGATTACATCGACTACAACATAAAAGGTCACAGAGGGGAAGGAAAGAACCTTTCCCCCCCTACTCACCATATCAATCTCTCTCAGAGCCACACCATTCTCCTGGTGCCTTCTTTTTAACTCTGCCCATAGATCTTCTAGCTCCTCAAAGGCTTCTTCCACTTGTGGACTCCACCTCTGGCCAGTATCCAGCAGCTGCTGTTGTTCCAGGGGGGAGGGGGAGGTATCACATATACATTATGTGCCATTAGTACACAGGAATTCACAGGAATATATAGACTTGACATACACAGTGTGTGTGATATTTTGTGTTCTTTGTATTCTTGCCAGAATCCTTGACCTCAGTGATTTATACTGTCTTGACAGCACAAGACTCCTCATCCAGGAACTGTTCAAGCCCTTGCAAAATCCCCTGCCATAGCCAAGAGCAAGACAAGGTCTCCAACATTTCCACAAAATATAGCCGTAAAAATAAGCCCTTTCCCTTGGAGAAGCAGAACACACATGCATAAAACACAGATGAAAAAAACAAAATTCACCCATTACTGGAAACAGTTAAATTTTGGGATGAGAAAGAAAACTGGCAGCTTCTCCTGAGCTTCTCACCAAGATGATCAGATGCATGCCTGGATGCCTCCCTCCACTGGGAAGGTTTGTGATAAGTCTTGTGATAAGGCTACCCAATCCCTACCACTCTAAACTCTCAGACCAAATTCTGCACTTGCTTTCTGCATACAAGAGCAGGTGAAGAGTCTGAACTGTACTGTTCTAGCAGTCAGACATCACCTCATCTACTTTGCCCTTTCCTCTGGGAACGTAATTCCAGAAGCTTATGGCTGTATAACCAAATGCCAACAAAATGCTTTTGAGGGCTTCCTGGAGGAAAGAAAGAGGTGCAGGGCATAGGACACTGGTTTATGTTCCACAGCATAAAATCATCTCACATGTACAGGAACAAAACTGAAACTGCCTGAAAATTCCTCCTTGTCTCAGCTGGGCAGGAGAGAAATGTTTCAGTTCCTCATTCTTGTCTGAAAGCAATGGACAAGAAAGAATTTATATCTCTCGTATATAAGAGCAATTGTCTGTCTAGTTCAGTGCTATCTACAGCAAGCTTCCTCAACTAGCACTCCTCTGATTTGTTGCTATTTTTCTTTTTCTTTTTTTCTTTTGCAAGGGGCTCCCTTCAAATGAGTTACCCTTCACTTGCATTCTCATCCAGTTCTGTTGTCCCTGTCAGGACACACTGTGGCCATATAAAAGATGCATTGTATTGTGACATGGAAGTGCCAGCAGAAAAGGATCTGAGTTTAGAAAAGGGGACTACAGTTCCCAAAATCCTGTGCCTGTGATAGTTGAGTAATTCTGAGAGTTGTAGTCAAAAAATGTAGCTTTCCCAAACTCTGGTCCTTTCTCCTTCATCCCAGTGGCAGCTTAATGGCAGCCTGGGAAAAAAACCACAACACCCTAGTGTCACTACAACCGCAAGGAAATCCATGTGGCTTGCAGGGTGAGAGAGACTCTTGGGAGTTCCATGGAGCTTATGGAGAGACATTACCCCATCAGCAGCTTGGCAGACATCCTGAGGGTGTGCCTTCTGTTGGGGCACATCTTTCAAAGCGTTTGACTGCCTGAGAAGCTTCCTCCTCCTGCCAGAGACAGAGAGTTATGGTGAGGTCATACCTTCTGATTCATCATTTGAAACAACCACTGCATTATTAAATACTATAGACAGAGAGAAGGGGATGGGTAGCATGTTTATATCATTTGAGATAACCCTAACACTTTTCAGTGGAGGTATTTAACATTCTATATACTCATAGAGAACTCCTTCTCCAGGTGTGAATACTTACATAGCCAAAATGACCCATCTGTGCCTAAGAACTGAAGCATTCACAGGCCTAGGGGAACCCAAACATTTGTAGAAATAGAGGGGAAAAAGAGACCCCACCAAAATAGATCAATAAGGACCGCATGCTCAGTACCCACAGAATGTGAACTAACACTATGGGGATGGAACAGAACCTCCTATAACAGTACATAAAAGGTAAAGGTTCCCCTTGACAATTTTTGTCCAGTCGTGTTCGACTCTAGGGGGCGGTGCTCATCCCCGTTTCCAAGCCAAAGAGCCAGCGTTTGTCCAAAGACAATCTTCCGTGGTCACATGGCCAGTGCGACTTAGACACGGAACGCTGTTACCTTTCCACCGAAGTGGTCCCTATTTATCTATTTGCATTTGCATGCTTTCGAACCGCTAGGTTGGCGGGAGCTGGGACAAGCGACGGGAGCTCACTCCGTCGCGTGGATTCGATCTTATGACTGCTGGTCTTCTGACCCTGCAGCACAGGCTTCTGCTGTTTAGCCTGCAGCGCCACCACGTCCCTTATAACAGTACATAGCTGGCAGGTAAACAACACTCAGTGTGTTTGCACTCCAGATTTAAACATTTTGTTGCAGGTCACACTTGTGTTCCTCTGGAAGCTATTAAGTCCTGTGGCTCTACCTAATGATTCAGATACTTTTTCATGGAATTCCCAGAATGTGCCCACAAAGGGTTTGGTTTGGTAGGAGTGCTACCGGTACTTTCCAGACTGACTTCTTTCCATGGAGCAGTTCCTTTGCTGAGAAGAAGGAAGAGATTTTCTGCCCACACAGACTTGTTGCCAAGCAACAAAGCAGATCCCAACAAGCACTCTGCCTGGGCACTCCCACCACCTCCATTTTTCTCATCCTTTCCCACACTGATCTGTTCAGTTCTCCCCTTCTCCTCGCTCTACTGCTGGAAAGGCACCAAACATACCTATGCCTCCTACTCCCGCTACTGTTGGCCTCCTTCACAGTTGAGTCTGAGTTGCCTTCCTGGCCTCCCAAACACTCTGCCATGTTTTCTAGGACGTCTTTCTGAACCTAAAAATTTTGGGGGCAGGGGAGGAGGAAAAAGCAAAAGAGTCACTGCTCACAATTCTGTCATTAAGTACAATGAAACTGGCTGGGACTTTGACAGGACCATCTCTGTTGGTACCCGAAGGATTACAGAACCCATTTTTGGTGATCTGCTCAGGCCCCTATTCAGACACTACTTACCTAGTCTCACCAAGAGACTTAGAGGAGAACATAGAGAGTGAAGTAATTGTGGAAGGGAGGCTCCTGTTCATTGTTCTCCTCACAAGCAAGAAACCTGGGAAACTGGAGTTCTTGTTGACATGGATTGCTTACATACAGACAGACACCTCACTCTCCATGTGGTGGAAGCAACAAAGAAGTCTGCCTTCAAGGGAGTGAGACTACACACTCCCCTCTGAGCACACTGGAGAGACGTGTATAAGTAATGACTGAATAGGGCTTAAACAATGTTCCACAGAGGATCAGTGCCAGGTATTTTGTGACCATGGGTGTTTTGCACTCTCCTCTTGTGTCATCTGGTTGCAGGAAAGCAAGACAATAAGAGGAGGAGAGTGAATAAAAATCAATGATTTTCTAAAAATCAAATTGATTTAAATGGTGATTTAAATTTTAAAAAATGATTTTTGTTTAAATTGTAAAAAACCTTGATTTTTAAAATTTACATCATAATTTAAATTGTGATTTAAATCAATTTGACTGATTTTTGTTTAAATTGTTAAAAAACCTGATTTTTAAATTTACATCATAATTTTAATTGTGATTTAAATCCATTTGGTTTAAATCAAATCCACTCTGAAGAGGAGTTTGCTACTTCATTCCTCTTCTCTCTTTTCCTCAGCTCTTTTGTAGCTGGGATTAAGTACCCTGAGAATGAAGTGTGTTCTGGAGACTGGAAAAGCAACTGGACCATCACTTAGGAATTACCAGCTACTTTCTCTGTTGCTTCTGGACAGCAGCGTGGCAGCCATGAGTTACAAGCAACATTTGTTGTTTATGTTTATGTGCTGTCAAGTTGGAACTGACTCATAGCGACCCTAACAGGGCTTTCAAGGTAAGTGAGGTACTTAAGAAGTGTTTTTACCAGTTCCAATCCCCCAATGGTTTCCATGGCTAAGTGGGGAATTGGAACCCAGGCTTCCTGAGAATGAATCCATCAGTCTATTCACTTACACCACAGTGGGTATCTACAAACAACACAGCTATTATAAAAATTTGCTTTTTGATAATTAGAAGAGAATAAAGTAGAATTGTAAAAGTAACATGATGAGTAGGGAAAATTACTTTATTGACATAACAAGTAATATGTTGTTGTTGTCTTTTAAAATTACTTGTAAAGAGAACCTTTAAAGGTATTTTAACAGGACTGTTTTGAACGTTGATGTCATTTTAAAAATCAGTGCTAGTCCTTTTATTTAATAAACAGAAAAGTAACAAAGAATCAATGAGTAGTGGGATGAGGCATTTCCTAATTACTTTTCAAATACTATGACTAGTGATAAAAGCTAATTATTTTTTTAAAAAAACTATCTTTCTAAGCTCTGCTCCAGACAACTCAAAAGTAAAGAAAACCATGCACATTAGCTCCATTTTCTCATCAAAGTCCTACACTTTTAGGGCATGATCAAATAGCAAGAAAGGATTGCAACAGATTGCACAGGAAAGCATGGTTTTACCAATAGCAACCATCCTTCGAGTTACTCTTCCAACCATCAGAGAATCATTCCAAACCAGCCCCTAAAAAGAGCAGCCCTGCCACTGAGCCTAAGAAGTCCAGCCTTGGCGTGGATTGGGGTCTGGTTGGAACACTATTGCTCATATGTCATGTGATTGCCAGTAAGTGGCTTGCACCAGACCATGCGACAAGCTGTTCAAAATGCAAGCAATTTTCCCATCTGATTGCACCCCCAGTCACACAAAATTATATATATATAAGGGTAACAGCAATACTAGCCTATTTTGTTTCTTGTGATACTCTTGCCACCAATTCAGGCCATTATAGGAAGGAAGGAAGGATACTACAGCCATTTGAGACAAACTGAAAAGATTAATTTGTCCCCATGGATTCATGTACAATATATTTTCTCCAGAGGTTTCTTAAGCATGAGTTTAGCTTTGCAGCTGGGGAAGTAGACTGAGGACCTGACTATGTACAGAGTTTTTCCACATTAATGCTGGTTTCAAATCATGTTTCCAGCAGTCTAGTACTCATAGTGGCTCCTTTCATCCTCAGAAAGACACAGCTGGTGGGGCTCTAACCCCAAGTATCTGAAGCTACTTAGATTAGGGGAAAGGTAAGAAGGCAGAAGAAGAGGCAGGTCTACCCAGAGGACAGCAGCACAGGGTCAGCAGCCTGTCTGGACCACAGAGAGGCATCCTCACCCCATCACTGTTGTCAGCTGGTTGCAACGGGAAAGTCCCTCGACATCTACTGCCCTGTGCTGCCCAGGACTATTGCCATTGCAGCTGCTGCTGCACAATCACTGCTCTTTCCTCACCTTCCAAGCTGACATACATTGGTGCCTCGCAAGACGAAAGTAATTCATTCCGTGAGTAGCACTGTCTTGCTAAATTGTCGTCTTGCGAAAAGCGGTTTCCCATAGGAATGCATTGCAATGCAATTCCTATGGGAATCTCACAAGAGAAATAAATTATTTTCTTCTTGTGAAGCATGGCCATAGAAGAAGCCGTCTTGCGAGTCACCAACACGATCGCAAAAACCATTTGTCTTGTGGGTTTTTCGTCCGGCGAGGCATTCCTCTTGTGAGGCACCACTGTATTGGTTATTTGATACAAGAAAGCAGGCATGTTCCAGAAAGCAGGAAAAAAAGTGATCCCAGCTGAATCAGAGCAAAATAAAACCACTACTACTAACAGAACAAAAAGAGACAATTCCCCACTGCAAATACTTGATTTCATACCAGACTTCCTAGGGCTAAGCTCTATGTAATGTAGTTGCCAGTTTTTAACTTAATTTTATCTGTGCTAAATCCAATGCAAGCTGTAGAGTAAATAACCAGTGCAGATGCCCCCTTAATTACATGGATCAATTATATGCAAGGCCCTAGGAGATTTGGAAGCATCGTCCTGGACACTCTGATTACCTGCCATGCTGATCTTTCTTGGGCTTCTGGCCTTGGATCGTTTGTAGTGCTGGTCATCTCTTGCTCACAACCTGGGGAATCAATCCATCTCCTTGTCAAAGGCAACTGTGAAGGCTTCTCACTCCTAAACAAGGGAGAGATTGCACAAATGAAACAATATTTTTTTGTGAAATGGCTTGGTAAATAAATGGGGAAAATGGGCATGCGAAATAAAAATAAAGGAAAAGGATTTGTAAGACAGAAGAGAGCAAGTGGGGAAAAACACAAATGAGAATTCTGCAAAATATGCCCTTTACTGCCTTGAAACAATCCTGTGCCTTGAATCAACATTCTGAAGTATTCTCACGTCATACTGGGGCATCTTTATGTCATTCCTTAGAAAAGTAAAAGGGAAGGGAAGGGAAGGGAAGGGAGGTTTCTAGAGCTGTTTACAAATGTCAACAACAATAACAGCCACCTAACTTGATACTATTTAAACCACTGGTTCTTAACCTTGGGTTACTCAGGAGTTTTGGACTGCAACTCCCAGAAGCCTTCACTACCAGCTGTCCTGACTGGGGTTTCTGGGAGTTGCAGTTCAAAAGCATCCGAGTAACAAAGGTTAAGAACCACTGATTTAAACAATGTCCCCAATGAAGACTGCCCCTTAAACCTTGCTTCCTGTGCCTTCAACACCAGCTGGAAACATAGAAAAGTAGCAGCTGAGGGTTTGTTGGGGGGGGGGGATGATAAAAACTAGATGCACAACAAAAAAGGTTATGAAATTCTTTGTTACCTTCCTATTAAAGGCACTCTAATAACAAACACTTGTTACTTGTTAAATATTGTTGCTCTGAAGGAACAATTCATAGCCAAAGATCCTCTTTACAGAGGGGGAGATGAGAAGGTGGCACTCATCACGTACCTCCATAGTTCCTGGAGCTGGGCCCAACTCTCCTTGACATCTTGGTGCTTGAGAGACACTCGTGCTCCCAGGCTGGGGTGGAGGCTTGTGAGCTGGGACACAGCCACATCCAACATCTGGAGTGGATAAAGCATACATCCTGTGAGTGACAAGAAGGGACAACTATCTATTTAACACAAGATTAGGTTTATGCACCACGCCAGATGAGCACCAAGCCAAGCACACTATACCAGCAGGCTTTTTGGGCCTGACAGGACCTACTTTAGTAACTGCTGACTGATAGCAAATCCAAGCAGTTGGCTCACCATATAATTTCACAGATCACAAACTGCACTAGCCTAACTCAGGCAATGTCCAAAGAAAAGTGTTAGTCCTTCAAGAGGAAGTGCATATTGACAAAGCATCCGGTTTACTATTCCACAATCAATTATCAGCACTAAGACGGTGCTGCCTCAAACCCATTTTTTTCCACAATACAAGTATGAGCATTCTGGACAAGCCCATTCCAGCAGCTGAGATTCAAGACAGCAACCACATAATGAGCATTTCAGCTGATTGCAGGTTGAAGTGCAGGGCATCTTGTTAAACTCGTACACACTTAGGCCTTCAGCCTTTTTCAACTCAGCCAATTACAAGGAGCTGGACATGATGGGAGTTGTAGTGCAACACATCTGGAGGCCACTGGCTGGGGAATACTATCTAAATTAAGGAAAGAGGAAAGAAGGGAAATCCTGAAAAGCCTGAGTCTAAAAGCCATTCTTCTCCTTTGCCTTTATCACACTACAGCTCCTGGGGCCCAGTACTTACCATAACCTGGCTGGCAATATCCCTAACATCCAGGTCTGGGACGGCCTCAGGTTCTCTCTGCTTCCCTGTTGTACACAGGTTCCTCCACTACAACAGGAAAGACAGACTTTAATCCCTGAGACACCAGCAGCAATACAATCTTCGGCACATCCATCATGTATTTTTAGAATCTGTGCACTGGTTCCTGGATTTCTATTTGTTTGTTTACTTACTAATTACATTTCTGTTCTGCCTTCTTTTCCAGTTATCCCAAAGTAACAGACATGGCTCTCCTTCCCCATATTCTGTAGAGCAGGGTGTGAGAGAGTGAGTTTCCAGTGAGTTTCATGGCTCAGTGGGGATGTAAACTTGGATCTCTCAAGACTGAACTATTATTACTTTAACTGCTATACCACTCTGGTCATGTGGACGACACAGAGGAAATTCTGTGAGTGCTCCTGATAGCAACACAAACAAACTTTCCCTTAACATAGTGAACAATATTTGCACCAGACCAAGATTTCTGGTCTTAAGAGTGACTTCTGAATCAGATTATATAATAAATTTTGCACGATACGGCTATGCTTCTTCTAGCTTTGTAAGCATTTCAAGGTAGGGAAGGACATGTGCCTATAGTTACATGCTCAAAATGTGTGTGTGTGTGTGTGTGTGTGTGTGTGTGAGTGACTTCTGAATCAGATTATACAATAAATTTTGGATGATACGGCTAGAGAGAGAGAGAGAGAGAGAGAGAGAGAGAGAGAGAGAAAGAGAGAGAGAGATTCCTGGGCTACATGTCCAGCCTGCTAGATCTAGAGTAACACATGCCAATGCTACATTCTTGGTTGCCAAAGATGTCAGTGCAATGTGACACATCCTGCTGAAGTCAGCACACCCTCCTGGATGACCCAGTGCTGTCTTCTGCCAGATCTGCTTGCATGATGTGTTGGATTTGGACTGCAACCTTGGCCCTTCAGTACCTTGGCATGGATGGCTGCAAGGAGCACATCTGCTTGCTGGAGGAAGGCAGCTGCCTCCAGAGCCAGTTGCAGGGTCTCATGATGTTCCTTCAGTGTTCCCTGGAGCTGTAGCCACCTGAGAGGATGGAAGGGCAAAAAGGAATGTAAAAGAAGAGGCAAGGAGATTATCTTCTGTGTCCTAATCCCATCAAATCAAGGGAATGCAGGCAGATGACTCTCCAGCATAGCTGAGGAAAGTTACTTTTTGGACTACAATTCTCAGAATCCCACCCCACATTCTGGGATTTATAGTTCAGAATATCTGCACTTCCAAGCGGTGCTCTCCAGCCTATGTTGGTTACAGGCCCTATATGTCTGTTCTTCCATCAACTCATGCCCAGCTTACATCTTATTGAGGTGCTTGCGCCGAGCCACGATGCTTCTGCTCTCACTCTTGCCCTGCTTCTCAAGCTTGTGAGCCAGACTGTTTATTTCTTCATGCAAGGCCTGAAACTGCTGCTCCTCCTGAATTAAGTGAGAGAGAAAGCAAGCAGCATAGGGGAAGGAAAGTAAGAAGTACATTCTTTAGAAGTATAGTCTCATAAAAACCTTACTGCTATTGGCATTGCCCAATGAGCTACAACAGAATAAACCTTGCTCTCAGAAGATGTTTCGAAAGTTGCTCAGGAACTTCCAATATTAAACATTTTTACAGTGCCTTTGAGTGATTCAAGTCTTTGCATACCTTATCCCAGAAAATCATACAATAACAGTGATGTAGGCTAAGCACTATCATTATTATTCCCACACTGCAGATGGAATAGGGCCAGGCAAGCTCAGAAAATGGTCTTAGTACCTGGCAAGTACACAGAATTTAATTTTTTTGCTGTCACACCTTTCTCTCCCTTATGGAATGGAACTGACAACTAAACAAGGCTACCATTTGGATGCACCCACTGGGTCCCAAGAACATAGGCTTCAATATATATATTTTAAGAAATGGTTACAGAAAAATGGATAACCAGAAAGGAATTTAATATTAATAATTGTGTCCCATCAAGTCTATTCTGACTTATTTATTTGTTGTCTTATTTATAGGCTGCCTTTCTCCTAATAAGGGGACTCATGGCAACCCTTCTCAAGGTTTTCTAGATAAAAAGTACATCAAAGCATTTTACCACCTCTTCCTTCTATGCACACTCTGGGACTGAACTGGAATACCTGGGTGTTGGGGTGTTGGAGTCCTCACTATGCCTTCCTGGAGAAGAGCAAATTCAAATTACACAGGTTGGCTATTTTTGTGGAAGGCATAGTGGGGAATCAAACATCATGGTACCCAAGCATTCTAGCTCAGTGATCCCTCCCTCCCTTCCTCGCTTTCAACCAAAGATTTTCTTCATTCATTTTATTTATTTATTTATTGGATTTTTACCCCACCCCTCTAGACCATGTCTACTCGGGGCGGCTTACAATGTGAAAAATGACAATGATACTAAATATAATGCAAACAAAGGCAATTTTCAGGTTGTGTAGCACACTTTAAGATACAATGCCCAAATACAGAAGATTATTATATAAGCTATATATTGGCAGGAGGGTGGAAACAAAAGTTAAAAACAAAAATCACCCTTGTTGCTCCTGCTTCAAGATGTTTTCCATTTCTCTTTTATTTTTTAAAGTGATGTAGTGTATATGTACTGCTCTAATACACTTTAAAAAAAACTGTTTAATTTGCTGAAGTCCTGAAGGAGCTCTCTCTTTAAGCTACCTCACAATACTGGCAAATTGACAGTGGGTTAATCTGGACCGAATAGGTTCCTATGCCATTTGGATGTGAGGACCTTCCAGTGACCCTGTTTGTCCCACAATAACCCATTCTAGCAAAGCTATGTAGCCAGGTCCTAAGTATTGAACAATCGCACTATATATTTATAAGAAAGCCTATCATTTGACACTAATAAATTGGTATTCTGCTCTAATACACTTAAAAAAAACTGTTTAATTTGCCGGACTCCTGAAGGAGCTCTTTCTTTAAGCTACCTCACAATAGTGGCAAATTGACAGTGGGTTGACCTGGACCGAATAGGTTCCTATGCCATTTGGATGTGAGGACCTTCCAGTGACCCTATTTGTCCCACAATAACCCACTCTAGCAAAGCTATGTAGCCAAGTCCTAAGTATTGAACGATCACATTATATATTTGTAAGAAAGCCTATCATTTGACACTAATAAACTGGTAATAATAATATCATAATAGCATATATAATAATCTCCTGGATATTACACCATAGGATATGCTACATAGCCAGAAGAACGTACCCTATCAGCCTTTAGTTATATTATATTTAATGAATCTGTAATTTTTTAATACATATGCTGAAGAAGCCTATTTGATCAAAAAGCATTTATTTGTGTGTTTGTTTGTTTATTCATTATGTTGTTTGTCCCACAATAACCCATTCTAGCAAAGCTATGTAGCCAGGTCCTAAGTATTGAACAATCGCACTATATATTTATAAGAAAGCCTATCATTTGACACTAATAAATTGGTAATAATAATATCATAATAGCATATATAATAATCTCCTGGATATTACACCATAGGATATGCTACATAGCCAGAAGAACGTACCCTATCAGCCTTTAGTTATATTATATTTAATGAATCTGTAATTTTTTAATACATATGCTGAAGAAGCCTATTTGATCAAAAAGCATTTATTTGTGTGTTTGTTTGTTTATTCATTATGTTTTAACCCACATAGATAAACATAATTTGTTTATTAATTATGTTTTACCCAACATAGGTGGCTTAAAGGGATGTAAAACACAAAAAGATAAAGGCAATCATACATACAAAAATCAGGTTATGAAAGAACAACTACACATATTAATTATGAAAATGCACAAGCCAAAATTCTAATAAAATATGTTAAGGTAGTATCTTTACCACCCTGGAACTTCACATCTCTGAACAGGATTATCAGAATGACCATACCTGTTTCAAGTCAAGGATGCGCCGGGTAAGTTGAATTTTGTCTGCATTCTCTTGCAACAGGGTAGTTAGCAAAGGTTTCTCTTCCTGCAGGAGATGATGCAGATAATTGGAATAAGGAAAAGTTTAGAAATGGCTCATGTTTTCTCTTTTAGCCTTAAGGGATGCAAATACCTTGTTTCCCTGAAAAGAAGACCTAACCTGAAAATAAGCCCTAGTATGATTTTTCAGGATACTCGTAATATAAGCCGTACCTCCAAAATAAGCCCCAGTTAAGTGAAACCCTGCCCTCCACCATTGTGCAGCATTGTGCAGCAACCAGAAGAATATGACATGACTGTATTTGAATAAATGTAGATTGTTGTATATGAAAAAAAAATCCCATGAAAATAAGCCCTAATGCATTTTTGAGCAAAAATTAATATAAGACTCTGTCTTATTTTGGGGAAAACACGGTATCACTTCAAAGCACACACAAGAAACAAGCCTGTAGACCAAGGAACCCCAAAATTTGAGATCCTTGGAGAGTATGTTTATTAAAAACACCTGCTGATATTCTTCTTTGCAGAGTTATTTTTTTTTTTCAGGATTTAAGACACCCAGGAATTTGCAATTTCTGTAAAGGAATAGATGTGAATAACAGAGAATGTGAAGGTGCACATTAGGTCACTTGATAACCAAGCCAAGGAACCTATAAGTATACACAACGGGAAGACTACATGATTCTGGAACTCATTCCAGTCCCCTCTCTGTTTCTCAGTTTCCAGGAGCCACTGTCCTCATCCTTCTAACCATTCCCAGCAATGAAAAAAGCTGAAAAAGCACTTTATTTAAAACAAAGCTCAGGTTCACCATGTTCTATCAAACTGATGGATTTGTAGCACAGTATGACTCATTTAGAACTAGAGAAGATTTCAATGTTGGCATCTTAAATCCATATACATATATTCCAAGGGTAGGCATTATGTTTGAAACTGGAGGACAGCCAGAGCAGGTAGATCACCCATGCACTACCCACCCATAAAGAGCAGGTAGAACACCCATGCAGTATCCACCCATAAAGGCAGAATTGGATGATCAGCCAGAAATGCCATGCAGCACATGGTTTTGCACATGCAAAGTGTTGATTAGAAGATGCTTTCAAAAAACTGGCCAACAGAAACAAGAGTAATTAACATTCAATGGGGTGGAAAAATTCTGATTCTCCTGATATCCCAGCATTCCCCACCATTCCCAGCATTCCCCACCATTAGCTACAGATAATGGGAGATGCAGTCCAACACCTAAAGAGCTGTACTTTAGATTCAGGGGGGCAGGTGGGAGTGAAGCTCCCAAATGTGACAGTCTAGTGATAAGGAAAAAAAAAAAGAAAAAAGAGAAGAGAAGAAAAAGGCAGGTGGGAGTGAAGGTCCCAAATGTGACAGTCTAGTGATAAGAAAAAAAGAAAAAAAAGAAAAAAGAGAAGAGAAGAAAAGAAAAGAAAAGATCAGCAAAAACTATATCACAGATGGGGCGGTGGAAGGAAGTCCTGATCCTGGTGAGTGATAACTGAGAATCCCAGCATCAAATCCTTATCTTCAAAG